AATGAACCTGTCAGCACAACAAAAGGCTCAGATCTTTGACCAATGCATACTACCAGACTTACATACGGCGCTGAAACTTGGGTTACGACTAAAGCCATTCTGTATAAACTACAAGTAGCGCAAAGGGCAATGGAAAGAAAAATGGTGGGTGTGACATTGAGGGACAGAAAGACCAATACGTGGCTTCGTAAACAGAGCAAAGTATCAGACGTTGTAGAAAGGGTAGCAAAGTTGAAGTGGGAGTGGGCTGGTCATGTAGCGAGAAAGCAAAACTCTTGGTGTAAAAGAGTGTTGGAATGGAGACCATGGGACCAGAAAAGACCTCGAGGGCGGCCACAGATGAGATGGAAGGATGACATCAAAAAAAGTGGCGGGCAGCAACTGGATCCTAATTGCCCAAGACAGAGGAAAGTGGAGAGGATTAAAGGAGGCCAACACCAAATATTTGGTCGATTAAGGCTAATGAAGAAGAAGAAGAGACTAGCTTGTACCCGCGACGGCGTCCGCGTGGAATTTGAAAAGTGCTGCCTTAGTGGGTTCGATGCGCGGACCGGGTAAAATTTTAAAGGGTTTTTCTGAGGAAAAAAAACCTAAGTTATTCTTTATGTAAACAGCTACCTGGTAGTAAAATATTATCAAAATCGGTGTATGTAGCGGTTACAAGATTACCCGGTACAAACAGAAAGACAGACAGACCTTCGATCAACAATAGCAACTAGATAAAGGGTCACGTACAAAGTCAAAGCTAAATGCTGTCCGCGTGAATATATACTTATGCAGCTACATTTGTTTACCAACAAACGGATGGAAAAGCTTTAAAATAGTTTTAAGTTCAACCTAATTACAACTATGGTACACAGTAATAAAGTCACAAATCTTCAAAATATTATCTAATACTTACGATCATTCCTTGCAAAAAACAAGCAAAGCAATAAATTACTCCTATCACTTTCAAATGAAAAGACATAACTTAAATAACATGTAGTGTAAAATCAACCTTATGGTGCAACAAATAAAGTACTTTTTCTCGTTATTGCCTTGAGAGCTACATCGTTTTGTTTTGTTTTATTTTTGCTTCTTCTAGTTTTACTACAGGAGGTATGGAGTTGCGTTGTACACTAAAATAATTTATAATATGAACATAAAATATTAGTTGCTTACTTTTTATGTTTCGGACATCTATGTATGTTTGTTAGTATCTTTACATTACTTATTATTTTATTAACGTTACGTTTTTGTCAAATATGTATGTGTATTTACTTTATCACATATAATGTTGTATTTTCAAAAGCTATTTAGACGGACACAGTATTTATCGTTATCAAAATAAATACGTTAGTTATCTTAAGCAATTCATACACATTATAATAGCCCCTTACACCATACAATTTAAATGAATATGTTAGGAGATATCTTAAATTAAAAACTACGCGCAAGTGAATAAATTCGCGAATAAAACTCATCCAAACCAACAAGCTAATGCAAAAAAATGTAGGCATTTAATGCTTTAAGCGACCCGCCCTGACACCAAAAGCAGGATAGATATACTAAATAAAATATCTCTAAATTCCACATAAAATTAACCAACCAATTTTGAAGTTCTGTTAAGAATTTTTATTTGTAACATTAATTGATAATGACAATAAGCAGTCTTTAATTTAGGACAAGAACGACAATATTTTTGTGAACTACCCTTATTCAAAGGGTGTTTGAATCCAAAGTCCTTAAGATTTCTAGTATTTAGGAAATCAAAAAGATCATTTAGTATCTTAATAAATTCTACTGTGCATTCTGATTCTCTAAATGCGGGAATATTTAAGGTTTTATTACAAAAGTCTATAGCTTAAAAGTCTATAAGTCACTAGCAAATCTACAAACAAAAATAACATTACAAAATAACAACACTACTCCATGCATTCCCTGTTCAAGAACAGTCGATGTTTGATACAATAATTGGTGCGTTGTAGCAAACATTGGCCAAACAATTATAACATTCGCTAATTGAATTTTATTTACAGTTTAATTCTGTTTATACTTATTATATTATGAAAAAACACTTATTGAAATTAACTTACCGAAAAAAAGATATTCCTTGCAAAAACTTGGTGTTACGGTGGTTATTTACACAGTTTTTGATCGCGCACTGCGGCATTTTGACGTCCTATTGTTGGCTATGATTGGACCGTACTAATTTGAAATAAGAGCACAAACACTTTTGTGCTCTTATTTTTCGGGCCGTTTTTGAATCGCTTATCGGAAATCTAGTACTATTATTGATCGAAGAGACAGACAAAAAAAATTAACTGGTTTTTAGGCATAGGTATTGTGCAAATAACCAAATGAGCATCAAACAAACCAATAATTTTGACATTACAAACAGACACTTCAATTTTATTTATTTGTATAGATGTACTAAACTGGTGTACAATAAAGTTTATTCTATTCATAAGTGTTTCCAACGTACAGTGAAATTAGTCTCGAGAAATTTTTGCATATGTAGTGGTGTGTATATTACTCAGATCTTAGAGCGCGTTTCCACTATATCGTTCTAGCCTATACAAAAATGTTTCGATATCCTAACATTACTATTTAATTTTATACTTATCCCTAGCAACACTGATTATTGTTTTCAATAAAAACAAGTTTTTATTTTAAAGAAAAAGGTTTTGAATTTATAAAAAAAAAAGGTGTGTGTGCGATTCACGATAGAAGTGAAACTTCAAAGAGGAGAGACCGATATTTAATTTTTTTTTTTCCTTTCATCTAGGTTTTTAAAACTCCGGGGGGTCTACGGGGGGGTCAAAATTTTTGTTATTTTTGGCCTAGGACTCACCGTTTCCGAGATATTTCAATCTAAAGCAAAAAATCGTCACTTGATACGAAAAGTGGAAACACGCACAAAACCAGAATAAACCAGTATACGCTGTCCGCTACCATACACTACTACAAACGCAAAAATTTCTCCAAGCTAATTTACCTGTATATATTTCTGGTAGCAGCTACCGATAGGAATTATCTTTAAAAATTTCATATCTACAACTTATGCATACATCCACTCCACTACTGGACGCCTATGTCCTCGTATGTTCGCCAAAACAACCGGTCTTCTGCTGCTTACATCCAAACGGCTAACCGCGACCTTCTCCTTTATCTTGTGTACTTACAACATTGAAGATGAATTTTCAGTTTGCGGCTGCTGTGAACGGCCTTTGCTTATTGAAAATGAAACTACAGCTTGTAATGTCATAATTTTAATTGTTTTTAAGAGTACTATCATGAATAAATTATGAAATATCCCCTTGTTCACTAACCATTACTAAGGCATTTACTGTAAACGGTTTGTGAAATAAAAAAAATCTTAGCTAATGATCACTTAACAGAGCCGCACAGTGCTTAAAGAGCGAACTCATTCTATCATTATATCCCATTCATATTCTAACAAATATTTAAAGTCTGTCATCAACGTAATGGATCCTTAAGACAATAATGACAATATACCATTATTGAATTACTGGATACATGGTGACGGGTATAAAATAACGGCTGAAAATTAAAGCTCGTGCAGCGTGCCAGCGATGTCGCAATGTCGATCAATGACAATCCATACAAATAAATTCAAGTGTCTGTTTATAATGTCAAAATAAAAGGTTCTTCTAAGCTCACATGGTTATTTGCACGATAGCTATGCCTAAAAACCAGTTTAAATATCTTTTGTCTGTCTTTCTGTCTGTTGTAACTTAGGCAATTTTTTCTCTCAGAAAAGCCCTATAATTTTGCCAGGTCCGGGAATCGAACGAAGTCGCGGGTACCGGCTAGTTCATAATATAGTTACCTATTTGAGGTTAGCAAATGGTTGGTGAAGTAGAGTAACTTAGAGCAGACGTGGATATAGTATCAGAACTTTTATTATTGGAAAATTCTGTTTTACGGATTGAGGTCATCAAGAGGATGAGAAGAAGGTTTACGGGCGGTTACTAACTGCATCTATTAGTCACCTGCATACATTATTATAATAAAATAGATAACAAAAAAGTTGCGCTACGCTGTCGCATACCGCCTCTGGCGACTGGTCGCTAGTCGCGGGGGCACGTTGAGTTCTAAACGTTCTATCAAGTCGCCGAGAAACTGCGCGATCGAAGTCGCACAACATCGCTTGCACGCTGCACGAGTCCTTATATAACATGCTCGATTGAATTATGACATAAATGACACCGTGCAGGGGCCTGGTAGAACATCTAACCAGTCTCAGTATAACGTGAGTCATCCAATAGTGAAGTAGTAAAGTGGAGGAAGCGCTCACCTTGCAGGGATCTTAAAGACTATTTTTTTAAGACGTTTTTTTATTATAACACAATTAGATATAATAATACATTTCAATTTAACGTAAAGCATGCTTCAAATAAGCATCGAATATATACATCGAACTGTAACGTAACTGCTGATCCAATCTAGACAAGATAATGATTATCAATCAATGCGTGGACTTATTGTTAATTTTATATTACGAAAAAGCAGTCTTAGCGATAAAACTTCATTGTCATGTAAGTACCAAATTATAATACTCGGTACATCGAGTGGCTATAAGTTCTTGAAGTTAGACGTGTAAATAATTCAATGTTATTTAAATATCATGGGCATATTACATTTGGTATTAAAATATACAATGCTTCTCAATACGTTCACGTTCCCCAAATATGAAGTTCATTCATATAGGGAGCGCAGTCGTATTCAATAGGATCTGGTCTCTAACTAACTCTGTCACCGATATTTTCCCCTGGGCGGTCAACGTCTATCGGTTGCCATTTTAAGTAACATCTATCTAAACGAGGTCTACTATGGAAAATATTACGAGGAGGATTACGGGACAACACGACATTGAGTCGTCGCAGACATCGCCCAACCGAGGACCGTGCCGCGACAGGGCCGACACGGAGGATCGGAACCCACCTATCGGTGCGACGGACGCATTAAACTTCGCTAACTACGAGCCCTTACGGAGGTTAATTTTCGTCATACAAAGGCGTGGCGTCTCCGAGAGACATCGACCTCGGCGACGTGTTGGTATGAGGGGTAGACCGGAGCGAATGCGCTCTCGACGAGCGGCCCGAGGAGTGGCCGTGCGGCGTGGACCTGACGTCGCGGGAGTCGCGCGGAGTGCGGCCGCCGCTCGTGCGCGGCGTGGCCGAGGCGCGCGGGGTGCCCGCGGGCTCGCGCGCCGAGGCCACGCGCCGCACCCAGTCCTCGGCGGCCTTCTGCCAGTCCGCGGGCTCCGTGTAGCCGGGCGGCGCCGCCGAGTGCGCGTGCGCACGCGAGCGCGCCGGCGGCGGCAGGAACTCGGGCTGGCGCGGGGTCGCCGCGAACGGGGTCATGTACGGGGTCTGAGCCGACGGCGTGTACGGAGTGTTGATGTACGCCGGCCCGGGCGTGTGAGCGGGGGTGTGGAAGGCCGGCGTGTGCGCGGCGGGGGTGTGGTACGCGGACGTGTGCGGGGTGCGGCCGGCGGGGGTGCGCGGGGCGGGGGTGCCGCTCGGGGGAGGTTCCCGGAAGTGCTCTTTGAACCAACGCAGCAACCCCGGTAGGGAATCGAACGTCCTCTGTCGATACTTGTAGCCGTCCGGTGTCACAGACACGTACTCGTGCGTGCACCGCGCGCGCGGAAGGTACGACAGTAGGAATCTCCCTGGATAATTCTTTGACGCAGATATGACGTAGTGAATCTTGTTCGGGTTACGAGATTTTTCTTCTTTAAGGATTTCTTCGGCTTTATCTCTCATGCCGAGCAGAGGTTTATAATACTTGTAGGAGATGAGGTCGCGAGCCAGCCCTGCCATTGGCGTGACATGTCGTGCTATAATTTCGTCTAAGTCTTCAAATTCTGAACCTTGAATCCATAAACTGCGTCCTAGAAAACACAAAAACAACGTATTCTGTATAAAATAATTATTAAAATTAATTAAATATATGTTTTAAAACAAAACTAATTACATACCTAATGAGAACGCGTTTTCTTTCCCTTCTTCTCGAACATCAATATGTTGATAAATGTTATCTGCTACTTTCCATGTTACAGTAAGATGGTCAGAACCCTGGAAATAATAGTAATAGATGAATAACCACATATAAAACGACGGTACTGTAATGTTGACTAGCTGGTACACTAAAACACGCTCTGCTCTTGTACAATATCGTTCAGCCCTACTAAGATTTATAAATCCTTACTAGCTTTTGCCCATGGCTACGCCCGCGTGTAAATCAAACTATCTCCATTCCAAATTTCATCTAAATCGATTCAGCGGTTTAAGCGTGAAGAGGTAACAGACACACTTTCGCTTTGATAACATTAGTATGGATGGGCTAAATTCTAGCTATTCAAAATATAAGTCATTTATACAACATACTTCAATATGTGTATAACAACGTAACATAAATCATACAAAAGCGAATTACTTTGCTACTCGGCCGCACAATAACCTCGCCCTGGGCCATCTTCTCCATCAGCTTCTCGGCTTCTGCAAAGGATATGTTGTGGAAAGCGGGGTGCACTATGACTCGCTTCACATACTGCATTCGTTCTTTAGTCTGTTTAGCCTCCTTCTCCTTACGAAGGTCCTTGTCTTCGCTTTCTTGGTCATAGTATGGATCTTTCGATGGTCTAGTGGTAAACAAAAATAACGATAACATATTAATTCAACCCATAAATCATTAGCAAGAAGGCACTTTAAATCAATTAAGCAATAGTATTCACTTCATTCATTCATACAATTTATAATGCCTTTAAAACCATTACATACACCAATTTTGCTGTGATTTCTTACTTGGTAATTCAAATTCATTTAGTGAATGATTTAAAAAAAAGGATAAAATCCTTCTTTTTAAGTCTATTTTTTATAGGTATACATTTTTTTAGTCTAGGTAAGACTAGATGACATCTGTACATATGTAAGAATAATAATCTATGCCAAGTCGACACTCAATAATTGACTGTGTAATCTTACACAATATACTGTATACCTATGGATTTATTCAGTATTTATATTGGATTGTAGTCTGTAGTTTTTATTTTTTATTAATGAGTTTTTATCCCAGTCTGCTTTATATATTTAGAAATTCTGATATAATACACTAAATCTTACCTCCACTCATTATTTTTGTCCAATAAATCTGATGACTTGGATGAGCAATCAACTGAGAACCTTTCAACATCAATTTTCAATATTCTACAGTGTACAGTCTGTCCGATCCTCACCCGCTCCGTGGGATCGGACACGTGTCTATCAGATAAGTTCTTTATGTGAATGTAACCGGACAATCCATTGTCAAGCCGGATCCGGACGCCCGTCGCTTGACCCGGACATGCACCCGCATCGAAATGATTCCATACCTAAAAATATTATGAAAACAAAATTACAACAGGGCTAAACAAATGATTAATTAATAATACACATATTACAGGCAAAAACACTTTGTGAGATCCACAAATTGTTGTTCTGCGTCTGGTTGTTCTTTACGGAGTGGGAGTCCTCTCGCTCGGTAGTATGCAATGGTACGAAGCGAGAGTGCGTGGAACTCCGCTGTCGCCTTCTGCGAGCAAGTTATGCTTGCTCGCAGAAGGAAGAGAGGTTTAGAATTCTCCCGGCCCGCCAGGCCCGGGAACGGGCCAGGTACCGCAGACGACTCGGCCGCCGGAGGGCACAGAACGACCACCGTCCTCCATAAGCGCGGGCCTGGGGGTGACAGGTGAAGCCATCTGTCACCCTAGCAGAAACAGGCCGGGGTGGCGGCGAGACGCGTTGCGGAGTGCGTGCCCCTTTTTGAGCACCAAGGGAACACGGAGGGGTCATCTACCCTCCGTAGATGCCCCGTGGTACGTCGGGGTACCAGAGATTTCCTTTCTAGGGTACACCGGGTTCCCCAGCTACTGGTACCCGAGAAGGCGTGCGGTTCTTAATCGATTCGAGTCCGACATAGCCACCGGTAGGTGGTATCCTAAGGGATTACCGCAAAAAAAAAAGTAAACATCCACTCACCTCAGACAACTCGGGGAAGTCGTTTTTATGACAGAAAGGACATTCCCACAATCCAGTCTCATCATTTCTAACAGGGTTAGCCTGATCCAACATTTCTCTCTGTGGTTTCCTATGACTAATACCCACAACTGAAGCCAAAACCATCTTTCCTACATACAGTGTTTCAGGGGATTCTTTGGTAAGAATATCGAATAGCTCTTCAGGTGTAGCAGAACGATATGCCACTCTAAGGTCTTTATACCTAGAATTTAATTCTTCTCGAATATCGTACAAAGTAATGCTCTTATTGCCAAAGCCTTGTCGTTCCAATTCTTCTGCAAAAGCGTCTAGGTCCAAATCCTTCAATCTTTCAGGAGCTTCAAGAATTTCTTCGAGAGCACCAGCAGGATTCGCATCTTCGTCTTCGTACTCGAGCGCATCGACAGCCATCTTTCGGGCCCACTCGTAAGTCTCTGGATGCACTCGGGACCCGTCAAGGACCTCAATGTATGCTTCCGTGCTGTCTCCTAAACTACTTGTATCAATTTTGATAAAACCAGAGCAATTGATGAAGACTTTAGGGCCCATGTGGCACACTGTAACGAGTTGTGTGCGATTTTCTAATTTTGATTTGTTTGTTTAAATAATTTGATTAATGCTTGGGCTTTTCTGGGACCTAACCCGCACACAAACTGAAGTAATTCGGTTCCTCGTCCGGTAAGAACCGCTTCGTTGACGTCAACACCTACTTCATTAATTCTGTTGACGAACTCGAGTTCAATGCCATCAAGTAGATCTTCTTTGGTTATCTGATCTTGGAGTGGATGGTACCTGAGGCATAATATTTCCTCGTCGGGCCCGCATAGTTGTGATATCTCCATCAACGGGTCTTGTAATAAGCGCGCCTGGCATATAGCTTGGCGGAGTATATCTGGATATTCCCTGAAGTCATTCTGTAAAGAAATCGTATGATAAGATATTTTTAAGATAAATATTTGAAGGAATTTCAAACACAATACGAATGAAGAAACTAGTGAATCTTTGGTGTGATTTATCAGATGAAGTTGATATCTATCTTAGATCCTATTATTGCTCCATACTACTTAAAATTACTTCTAGGAAAAAAAAAACTTTGTAACTGAGGATAATGCTACGCTATGAAGAACACAGAATGTCACAGAACGTCACAATCATCTCACAACGACATCTATAACGATTGATACGTACCCGTCCACGTATACTGTTGCTGTATATTTTACTAATATGGTTGTCTGCGATCTCTATGGGTATCCTGGGGAACTGTTCATCTTCTACAAGTTGTTGAACGCAGTCTGACACGTCTGCCTTCACGTTGAGCGCCTCCCGGGACTCTCCACCGATTACGATGACATGTGGTTTCTTGCGTAAAATAAATCTAAACATACAAATAAACAGTTTATATTTCAGTGGTTAAACATTTAACACGATTCACATTGATAACTATATCTCACAGAACCAGAACAAGTCTTAGAGTTAAATTGACCTACACTGATTTCGGCATAAAATGTTTTCAGTCCACTGCTGGACATAGGCATCTCCTTAGAAAGGAGGTACATTTAATCATGCAATATGATTTTGCATTATCCATTATATTAATTATTTCTGATCTAATTTATACAGTATTAGAGAAACATTCTTCAAAAAGTAGACAGACGATAGTACTAATGATAACTTAGATGACGGGTTAGAAAAAAATCGATAACGATAAAAAAAAACTCTTTTTACAACGTTTCATTAATACTATTCACGTTCCAACATGTTAGTAGTACCGAATGAAAGTCAGGATAATTTCATAAAAAAAATACATAATATAGAACACATATACACATATAGATAATTTACTAAAAAAAAATGCCAAATCAAGACAGCTATCTTACTTCAATTGACTGTTCAGACTGAAAAAATCAGATAATCGTATGTCATCCAAGCATATAGAGTAGGTGATAAATAGAGCAGTACCTTCTGAGTGCAGTCATGTCGGACTCCTTGTTCTGGCGCTCGAGCGCGTCCCAGGCGTTCCTGCGGTAGAGCAGGTGCGGCAGGCGCAGGTGGTCCGCCACCTCGCCGCCGCTGGCCACGAGGCACGCGAACGCGCTGTGCTGCCGGTCCGGCACGTACGCGATCGACAGCACGCGCAGACCTGACGTACCGCACCATATCGTTATTCACACGAATTAAAATATCCGATAATAAGTTTCAATCAATTCATTATAATCTATACTTATAGCAAAATTAAGGTGTTTGTTTCAGTAGGATTTGAAAGTTTATTTAAAAATTTTATAGCACTACTTTTTGCTGACTAATTTAACAGGATATTAACAACTTTAATCCTAGATGAAATGAACTTCAAAACCTTATTTATAAAGGTTTTTATTTTATTTTTAAATAATTGCTAACACATACAGAGTCATTAAATTGTAATAAATCTGTATACATCCTACGAATCGTACAGTATTAATGTAAGTAAAAGTTAGTGACTGACCATTGGCTGTGTCCCACTCGTCATCGTCGTCGTCAGACACTCTGGACTCATAGGGCGCCACTTTCAACCAGTCGTATAAACGCCGACGACAACATCTGAGAAACAATAGAACATTTTAATATTACGTAATACGAAACAAGCAGTAATTGAAATGCCGCTTCACCTAGCTAAAACTTTATTTTAACAAATATAGTAAAATCTTAAAAAATAACAGTAAAAACAACATAACAACAATAAATAAATATAATTTATAATTTGTATCCAAACTATCTATCCATAAAGACCCTTGTAAAATACATCAAGAAATATCGTGATACCAAACCATTGACTATTCCAACAATCAATTTTTTTTAAATAATATCCAAAGAAATAAACTTCAAAAATTAAAACAAAACACTGCCATATAACACTGGTCATAAAATGAAATCTACCAAAACAACACCAGTGCGAAATCTTTTGTGTGTTTAAGTAGGTCCAAAGATGATTTAAATGCTCTTTTCAACACACAACACGTTATGAATATTGTGTTGTTGAGTACAACACAATATTCATAACTGTATAATATGAAATAATTTAAAGTTTAAAGGATTTCATATTATACAGTTATCCAGTTATACAGTTATTTAAACAATCCTATATTCTATAATTATCACAGAAGACCTAATGGAAGTAGTTACCTCAGACATGGACCTAAACAAAAAATATAAAATAATAGAAAACAAACTCAGGGAACAGGCAAGAATACAAATAAACAAAAGTCTAAAGTCCCATCATAGCGAAAAAACTTTAAAACTAATTGAAGACAGAAGAAATCTAAAAATGGAAAAGGATAAGAAAGAAAACCAAAAAGAAATCAACAACCTTAGTAAACAGATTCGCGAAAGCATGAGGAAGGACAGGAAATATAGAAGGATCCAAACCCTAGAGAATCACATTAGCAGAACGGGGGGCACGAGGAAAGCGCTCAAGGAACTCCGAGAACAGGGAAAAGAATGGATACCAAAGTTAACAGATAAAAATATGTCATCCACTTCTCGCAGGAAAATCCAAAATATAGCAACAAACTACTACCGCTTACTGTACAAAGAACACAGTGCAAATCAGCCAAAAATACAATTGCCGGATAGAGAATCTAATAGTACACAAAACTGTATGATGGAGGACGCAGAAGTTATACCTGAAATATTAGTATCGGAAGTGGAAAAATCTATAAAAAGTCAAAAAATGGAAAAAGCCTCCGGTCCAGATAAAATCACAAACGAACTCATGAGAGGGACAATTAAAGACCTAAGCCCAATACTAACAAAGCTCTTCAACGAGAGTCTATATACCGGCAGCATTCCAACCCAATGGGCAGAATCTCATATAATACTTCTACACAAGAAAGGTCCAAAAGACGACATAGGAAACTATAGACCCATTTCTCTCATTTCAAATGTATATAAAGTTTTCGCTAAAGTGATTCTGGACAGAATATCAGTCACACTTGACGAAAATCAACCTGTGGAACAGGCAGGGTTTAGAAAAGACTTCAATACAATTGATCATATACATGCAATCAAACAGCTCATACAAAAGTACAATGAATATAACAAAACCATTTACCTGGCCTTTATAGATTATTCCAAGGCTTTCGATAGCCTTAAACATGAATCTGTGTGGCATAGTCTTAAAGAGCAGGGGATTCAAAACGCCTACATTAATATCATCAGAAATATTTACTGTGAAAGCAAAGCTAGAATCAGGCTAGAATCTACAGGGGATGTTTTTCCGATTAATAGGGGCGTCAGACAAGGTGACCCACTCTCACCAAAGCTCTTTTCAGCAGTGCTTGAACAAATGTTCAGAAAAATGAAATGGGGACATCTGGGGCTAAACATAAACGGAGCACGATTAAATCATCTAAGATTTGCAGACGACCTGGTTATATTGGAAGAGGACCCACTGACACTGCAATCCATGATACAAACCCTAGTAGATAGAAGCAGAGAAGTAGGACTAGAAACTAACACAAGCAAAACTAAAATGATGACCAACTCAATACCTATAGACATAACCATAAACGGACAGAAACTTGAATATGTAGAGGAATACGTGTATCTAGGCCAGATAATATCGATAACAGACCAAATGTCCAAAGAAATAGACAAAAGAATTGCGACTGGGTGGAAAAAGTATTGGGCATTGAAAGAAATCATGAAAAGCAAAGAACTGGGCATGAAGATCAAGAAGAAGACTTTTGACACCTGTATCCTACCATGCATTACATACGGCTGTGAAACCTGGGCTTTGACGAAACGTCATAGGGACAAATTAGCAAGATGTCAGAGAAGCATGGAAAGAAGTATGCTAGGTTTGAAACTAATAGACAAAGTTACAAGCAAAGACATCAGGCGCCAAACAAAACTAACTGACATACTATCACGTATTGATCAACTCAAATGGAGATGGACTGGACATATGCTCCGCTGCAAGAAGGAAAAGTGGAGCAAACAGGTGACAGTCTGGTACCCAAGGGATGGCACTAGGAGCCGAGGTCGTAAAGCAATAAGATGGGAGGATGACCTAAGAATGACCTTAGGACCACTTTGGATGAGAGTAGCGGCAGACAGAATGCAATGGAGAGACTTGGAGGAGGCCTTTGCCGTAAGGCAAACCGAACCAAGAGACATCTTATAATGAAAGTGTAGTTTTAGTTTATAAGTTTTACTTTCTTTTATAAACTCTTTTTAAATACTTTTATTTCAATTTTTTACTAAGACACGAAAATATGTAACATGAAATTATTTCGGAAATAAAGGCTTTATTATTATTATTATTATATTCTATAATTACCCAGATAGACTTGGGATACTATGACTATTCAGCAATATCACTGAAGGTGCCTGAGAAAATGTATAATACCACTGTTATTTCCTACTAATTCTGTATACGCTGTAGTCAATACTTGTTCCCGACTTCTTTTAGACGCAAAAATACTTCGCGACAAGCAGCTAACTTCAACCTGGTCAATTTAAATATTAAGTGTTATTTAAATTGACAACAAACTCCTTTACTCACTTTAGAACATACTCCTTGGCTTCTTGCAGCAGCACAGCATGTAACTCTCTACGTAGCTCCGGCATTACAATCTTAGTCAGAGCTATGGTGACCGCTTCGGTTCTCAGCTCGTTCCAAGCCTGTACTGTAGCCGCGAACTCATCCTATACACATAATTAATCATAAGAACCTCATATTTGCGATGAAGGTAATGTTGGAAGTTAATGACTATATCGAAATTAGTTCGTAATCAATTTCGTTGATAAAACTTTTTATGAAATCTGTTCTTTAACTTTTACATGTATATATCTTGTTGGCTTTCTTACTTAGATGAACAACACTAGAGTGACACCATCAAGTCACGATTATCAAATGGGCCCTATATCTGTTTCACGACAATATAATACATACATAGTATCTATCCGTGTGGTGACGGATTAAGAATACATATCACCACCCCTATTCATCCCGTGGGTGTCGTAAGAGAGAGAGAGAGGTAACTCCGCAGGACAACAGCACTGCAAAGAGAACGAAAACTTGAAACAAACCCTATACCACCCTGTCTGGACAGCGTGGTATAGGAGGCCAAAACCACCTTTCTAAAAAGAGGCCTATGTCCTGCAGTGGATTAGTAAAGGCTGTTGATGACGATAGTTTGATAACAAAAAACTTCGTCAAGCTGTCAAAGGTCATTCATAGATCATTATCATTAGAACTCATTTGGGCGCGGTATACAAACATGATTAACTGTAAGACAATACTTTAGATGTATTTATACTATATTATTGGGATGTAATTAGGATGACAACCACTTTAGTGAGGTTTCAAATGGATCTAAGCATACAGCTTCGGTAATACTATACAACATTTTAAATTCATTGTCTATAAACAGCTGACATCAATCTAATATCCATTTATTTTATTTAAAATATATATAATCAATGTAACTGACTATTACATAATATTGTTGACTGTTTAATTACTAACTATATTATCGATATTTAACTTTTGCAATGTTATTAGTATTTATATTAACTTAATGACTTAATTAATTTAACAGTGATTTATTTATTATATTAATTTTATTTATTTATTTATAATTTGTGTATCATTTCTGATTCATAATGTTATGTTTGACTTTAAATGCAGGCTATGATCTTCTGTAATTAAGGATACACCAGATCAATAATATATTATTCTTTGTGAATGCTATGTGATATTCTTGTTGAAGATCCATGTATGTATAAATAAATAAAAAAATGAGATTAACAGCACTTATTGTAAACCAACCTTTTGATATAGCTGTTTGAGTTCTTCCAAATAACTTGAACTAGTGTTGCCCTCAATTTGTTCACTGATACTGAGCTCTAACAACTTATCTTCAGCCGCCATAGTCAATTTGAGAAACTGGTCTCCAGAAAGATCACGAACTGGCTTCTTCTTCAAGTACTTTAAACTGTATAAATGTTAACAAGCTATTATAATTATATATATTAATATTATATTAAACAATTGGTTTATTTCTAACGCTAAAGCATTGTAATGTCGTGGTTCTTAGAGCCAAACATTCGTGCATTAGGCGTTATTGTTTTGAGATAAGTTTTTGCTTTAACCTGTAACACGCGTGGTTCTCGTCTATCTCCTTCAGGCCCCTCGGTGTGGGTTTGACCGTGATGGTAGCGCGGTCGCGCAGAGCGTCCCTCAGTGTGGCTCGCAACAAAGGCTCACGGGCGAGCTGAACCCCACACATGTATACAGCGCGACGGACCACTTCTGTTGCTGAGCCTATTGAACCCACCTAGAAACATAGAACAAGGTTTTAATTTGATTCAAACACATAAACTGCCTGTAGTAGATAAAAAATGTAGAGTAGACCAGTGGATCTTTTAAAGAGCCTATTAAACACGCCTATAAACAAAGTTGTAAGCCCATAGAGAAAAAATACATAAAACTACCCAATTGTCATTAAATTTAACAAATGAATAATAATGAATGCGATTGATGGGAAAAGAAAACATATTTATTTATTTATACTTACATACTCAGCGGCGGCTTCAAGTGGCGCTACAGGTTGTTGTTCTACTTCATGTCGCTGATAATTGTCGCGTACGTTCTCCGCGAACTGTTCAGGAGTCAAACCGAATTTCTTCACCAGCGGCTCTAAAGAAACATCACAACATTTTATAATCAGAAAAACAACGATTCTATAGCTTACTTTCTAATGTACACAGGCCTTTCAATAATCAACACGATTTAAAAATAAACGCTAAATTGCTTTAGTGTTTGCTTGTGCTAAAATGCAAACAAGATCAAGATTCACTAAATAATAATGGTTTCTGATGCCTTTAAACTTTTGCTGTCTAATCCTATTCACCACCATTTCAGTCAAAAGTACTAGCAAAATCACTGGTTATGTAAAAGTAAGATAAAAGTTATATTAAACCAGATTGGATATTTTCATTTAAATAAATTGTAAGCAGATAGGCTTTTTTAACTGATTCTGATTTAAAGTACTTGTAACTAAGACTGTCAGTCAAAACTATTTTTAATGAAAAAAATGGCAGTCATAATCGTTTTTAACCAAATCATCTAAGGTCAGTTTTGACTATTAAAAGAATACAGTATTTCCCCTAGTTTTACTCGTTAATCTCAATTGCAGTTAATCATCAAGCGGCGGGCAGAAATCTAAAATTTTCAGTACTTTAGCAGATTTTCACTATCATTAACAAAATGGGGTATGGTAACGTACCAATGCCAGCTTTCCTACACAGCTCATAAGGCCCAGATCGCACGGCGTACTTGACTTCAGTGGGCTCTTCAGCATCGGGCTCAGCTGCTCCGACGGCGGCGGCCGCTTCCTCGGGGTCTTCCCCGTTCTTGTCAGCCTCCTCGCGGGCTATCCGCCTTGTACGTAACAATATTACTTTGTCAATGAGAGCTTTGAAAATCGTTACTGTCATAATGATATTAAGACTTCAGCGTCAGCATCTCGCAGATTTCATTGATGATTTAATTAAGTAATTTAGCAGGGATTAGACTCGAATGCAATGGATATTTGTACTGTAATTTGTTCACAAATAAAAAAAAAATTGATAGAATATTAGACTTTTTAGGTATGTTATATAAAACCCATACTTTTTATCTTCCAGTTCCTTTTTCTTTTCTTTAGAGCGCTGCAGCCTCTGCATTTCTGGTAAATCAGTCGAGTAATACAGTAGGAAATGAGTGTGGACGTCCCGCAGTTCTTCCGGGGTCTGGACGTTCTTTAGCCTGTCACATAGAATTATATTTAAACCACTATTTAGAGAGTACGATAAAAACAAGCATATTCGTATCAGATTTACATATGGCATGATGATGATGATGATGGCAACAAATGATCAGTTAATTAGTTAAGTCATGGTAACATTATAAACAAACTACATGCTTTGCATTACTAATAATAATACATATCAATAAAAATATTATTTTAGTCAAAAGGATTAGGAATATAGTTGTTGCAGTGGTTAAGATATCTTGATTACCTTTCAATATCCTCGTCCCTGATAAGTCGCATATTCTCAGGAATCGGCGCGTCGGGATCTACCATGACCTTGTCCAGTTGGAACTCGCGCATGTTTTCAAACAGCTTCAATAGGTTTTCTTTGCGCTGCTTCAGTTGACACCACTGGTGGAGGAGGGAGAAGAAATAAACATTTTAATCAGTCTATATCTCGTGTCTTATATGCCTATTGTCATCTGCAATATAATTTTATGTCGTTACGTCAGCACGTACCTTGGCGTCGTACTTGTACACCTTCCAGAGGTCGTTGATGGTAAGCTCAGGCTGCACATATTCCTTGCGGTAGAAGGCGATGAATGGCACTTCCAGCGTTTGATTACGCATAAAGTCTAATGCTTGACGTATCTTTGTAATAGTACTATTGCCCCTGTAAAGACACGTTTTATAAGATAGATTCTTATTTCGTAATAGATCAAATATGAAATAAGAATGGTGAACCCACGAAGTTGTAATATTTTAAGGGAATACATTTAACGGAATATAATGAACTTATTTGTATTCTATTTACTGATCTATTTTGAATACCTTGGCAAACAAAGAATCATAAGCATTCAATGTCATGTTAGCCTAATTTTCATGACAAAAATTAATTTACGCTAAAAAAGTTATCAAAATCTGAAATCTACTGACTCAACAGAAAAGATTAAACAATTCTATCTTAACAAATATAATAAATCTTTAAAACTCTTCTCAACTTAACCAATTATGATTTTTGGTTATTTAATACAGTTTAATCAATTGATTGTTTGAAATTCCTTGTAATACCAACCTGCGCGATCTTTCTCTTGCCTCCTGAGCGTCAGGCTTGGACACGGGCGATTTAAGGAAGGCTTGCTTGTATATCCACTCAGCCTCATCTTCTAGTTCCGTACTGCCTTCCTCGACGGGAGTGATAGGCACCTCTCGAGTTTGCATGCGCTCGGGTATGTCCGTTTTACGTATCTATCGACGGAATAGACCAATACATACACATATTCAAATATCTCACAAATATCTGTAGTGTATATCTGTTCATTTAAGCATTGATTGTTACATCTGAGTATCACTTGTCAAGTATAAGTGATACTCAGGTGTAATAAGTGAATGCATGACTATGATTGAAATCGTAAATGTATTAAAACTTACATTTAAATACATTATATATTACATTTATGATAACATTTATATGTAAATTACATTAAGCAGACAATGGGATTTAGATTTACGAGTTGGTAAAAGGATAACCATTTTAATTCCCAATTTTAAAAACATTTGGCGCATATGGTCTGAAATAAATTATTATTATTAATATTTTTGATATTTATGTTCTCAGCAATTTAGCTGGTTCTACAGCATTAAGGCCTAAACCAAGTAAATGTGGAGTGTAGAGTGTGCAGCATGTGGAGTGTACATTATAGTATTTTCATCTAGCTTAATGAATTTTCTCACGATTCTACTTATTTTTAATATGGCGGCTTTCTATAAACTTAAATACACAAATTCTCAAAAAAATATGTTAAATTATAACATAACAATTTAATTGTGAACAAATATTACATAACAATGTAAGAATCTGTACCTCATTATCCAAATCTGTGAAATGGCTTCTCTTCAACTCGCTAGGCTCATATATTTCGAATATAGACTTTTTACTTGGCCGTTTTGCTTTACCCTTTTTAGTCCTGCGCTTCTCAACACCTAAAATTTTAACACATAGTAGTTAATAACCTATTACACCTGTTATAGAGCATTTAAATAAATATAGAGATAAAAAAAATCTTACATACAATGTGGGTAACCGATAATATGTACGTAAAATTGTAGAATGATTAGTTCCATATTTATATTTTAATTAACTTCACTTTAGTATTTATAACATGTAGGATTAATTTTGTTCAAAATGCAATTGCAACCAAAAATAAACTAATAATAAACATGTAAACTAGATTTCTTATAATACTTTTAAAAAGCTGTCCTGAGCTAAGTTAAAAGCTAAGTTTCCTAAGTTCTTTATTGTTTTACTAACCTTCCTCCTCTTCATCTTCTATATACTCATCAAGGTCCTCTTCTTCCTCCGACTCATAGTCTTCTTCACCATATTTTTCGAACTCATCATAATCAAAGTCGACACCAAATATGTCCTGACCCTCTTGTAAGGAGCTATATAAAAGGTTTAAATTTAAAAAAAAAGTTAATAAAAGAACTAGGAGTGAGACTATAGTTAATAACATTTAGAAAATTTGTAGAACTTCAGATTATTTTAGGTTGTTAGTGAAAATCATGAATTTTCACTAACAATCTTCAGTGATTGTGAACAAATATTTTATTGTGTTCGCATAGTTTTACACTTGTATGGAAGCTCGGTTGCAAACCATTGGCAAACTGTAAAACGATGGTTTAACTCTTCATATGGTTCACACCAGTTCAAAACGCGGTTTATTGCAATTTAATCGGTTTGGTTCGGACAAATTGTCTAATTGATTCAACTCGGTTTGATAAATAAATTAAATAAAAAAAACAGACCATAACATTTCTAGACAGTATTAATTTTCCCACAATATAGTAATACTAGTCAAATTCTTTACTCTTTATTAAATGTCAAAATAATACGCCATTAATTTTTTTTTTAATTAAATGCTTAGGTTAACATTTTGAAGCAATAAGAAACATGTAAATGCAAAAGCAATAAGAAAAATCTATGACCAAACCCACAGTTAATTTAATTATTTAACATTTTAAATGACTGGACTGAGTTGACATATTAAGACATTTCTATGTGATTTTTATAAGATCTAGTTACCACAAATTACATAATATACTCATACACAAATTACATAATATAATCAAAAAGCATTATTTAGGTTAGTGAAGCACAGCTTTTTAACAAATTGTACATGTAGAAATATGTGTACTTACGCATCAGTAAATATAGGTTTTCTTTTCTTCTTGCGCTCAGCAATTGGTCTGCCATCATCATCAACAATAAAGTCATCAGCATCTGACTCTAGGTCCTCACCTTCCTCATCATATTGCGCCTCACCTCTTGGAGCAGCAGATTCGGAGCGATTTTCATCTTCCTGGTATAATCAAATTAATTTTTCATAAATCATTTTATTTTAATGAGTGATTCTGTCTTTCATATTAAATATAGTAATAGACTTACGTCATCTGAGCCACCTTCAAAGAGCTTTTCTGCTATAACCTCTCTCTCCAGCTCAGGATCATCATTGCCCTCATTATCACTGTCATCATCTTCCAATCGACGCAAACGCTTAAATTTGTTCTATTGGACAAGAAAATATTATTGTTATTCAATATTTCTGCATATGTATAGGTTATTTTACTTTGTAATCCATGGATTATCAGGAAGTTCCCTGTTTATCCAGATCCCTGTTGATCCAAAGGTTCAAAAGACATAATAAGTGAAAAATGCTACTACTTTTAGTACTTACTAAAAGAACTAGTAAGTTCTAAGTAGAAGTTTTATTTATTTTATTTATTTAAGCCTCTTTAATTCCTTAGTAATAATAATACAACACAAAAATAGCAACATTTCTACTTAGATATGTGGTATCTATTGAAAACTTCCAAAATATTTTTATTAGTTTATAATCTGATTTAACAAAAAATAGTTTTTGTTGAGTTTTCTAATCTATAAGTTAATTGAACCATTGAAAAGAGACTTAGCATGTTGCCTTTAGTAACAGATTAATTGATAATGATAGAAAAAGATAGGCATATGGATCAAAACCTAGGTTTGTAATGTATATGCCTCTTATTCAAACTTACCCTGGCAACTTTAACACCAAGATTCTCTTCAATAAGATCATAATCTTCATCTTCCAATCTATCATCAAGTTCATCATCACTTTTCTTCCTTTTCTTTGGTCCTGCACTAGCATCTGAATCTTCTCCATCTGAATCTTCCTCTATAGGTGCATCATCTATTAAATCCTTAAGTTCTTCGCGTAGGCGCTCTTCATCATCTAAAACAAAAAACACTTTTCAAGGTAAGAAATCATAGTCGTTAATAATGTGATCTTCTGTAAAGTAGTGGTAGTCCATAGCATGCCTTCTATATAAAAAAAATATTTTTGCAATTCTTCCCTGACAAAAGTATGTAAAATAGGTTTTACATGCTGTTCAAATTACTAAATTTTCTGCATCATTAGGTAAATACAACTACTTTTATATACTTGTATTGCTTAGTAGAGATTTCATTTCAAATGTCTACATGTGACTTATACTACAGTAGCTTGCACAATGAATAAATGAAAACAATAATTTTAATTAAATAATAATAAACCAAATGTAATGTTTTTATGGTTAAAACCACTTAGAAGGCTCCAGAGTCTGATATTAAATTAAATTGATGTCACAAGTAATTCAATAAAAATAGTTATACAGTGTAATATGTGTAAATAAAAAACATTTTACTTGGAGGACACATACATTTTCACAGTTCTGTATGTTCAGTTTATTATATCTGAAAATTTTATTAACCTTTCTGAAACAATAGTAATGCTTTTTTTCTTTTTAAGGTTTTAATGAAATTCTTGAAATAGGTTAGGAGTTATGAACTAAATGTCGAAAAAGTAAGAAAGCTTTATTAAATCTTTGCTTAGTATTTGTCATTTTTGTATGAATGGGAAATTTCATGACACATTCTAACTATAAAATAACACATGTAAACATCTATATACAAAAGTGTGTCAACATCGCGACATTTTGTGTTTATAAAGTAGGTAAAGACATGGTTTTAATGAAGTAAATGTTTAAAACACATTCTAGAAACGGGAGTCAGAACACATTAATATACTACTTCACAAATTCGTTTAACAATAGATAAAAATGCCATTACAAAATGTGAGAGAAAGTGCACGATGTCAACATTACCTTCCTCGTCTTCATCTTCATCATCGCTTTGAACAGCAGCCTTGCGCTTGACTTTCTTGCGTTCTGGCTGTTCATCCTCTTCAGACTCCACCTAATAGTAAATTACAACAGCTATAGTCAAAGGCACTACGCAATGTTCTTCATATTGACCACAAGCTTGGCTTAATTTTTTCACTAACCTCGCTCTCCTCTGCTTCAGACTCCAGAAAATCAGCCATTATTCCTTATAACTAATTACAAATACTACTTCTAAATGTTTAAATACGTGGCTAGTTAACTATACGCTACAATGATCGTAATTTCTACAATAATTCTACAACTAATAATTTTTGCTTGAAAATATGACACGAACGAAGAATGAAATGAAAGAACGAAATAAAAGACCATGAGAAAATGACTTTATGCACGAACTGCGACTACAAGTCATTCGTTCACCTTTAGGGCTGTTTAGTTTAGTTCGTACCAAGTTTTACTAAATAGTTTGTTTGCTATTATTTGCTAATTAATTAGAACGTTGGCACTAAGGTGTGAAGTATCGAAATTAAGGCAGGTTAAAATTTCTAGTAAGCAAAACTCGGTAATTTGGAATAAAACTTCTTGATGGTTGATTTTTTTTAATTTTCCTAAATAACATGAAGTCTATAGTAACACTTACTATAGACTTCATGTTATTTAGGAAAATTATTTGTTTTAGTATTTGTTTGTTGATAATGTTGAAATAGAAACTCTATGGTGCTTTGTAAAGTTCCTCTTTGAGAGTGTGGTCTATTCTTCTATTGTCAGGTTACTAGGTTTATTGTTTCTGACACTCTGTAAGAAAATACTTTGACATTAATAGATTATTGAAAAGTTCCATGTGTATTTTCTATTATAAAAGATCCTATAACTTCAACAGATAAGATGGAAATATAATTATGACTTGGTTAGTAAGCTGGTGAATGCGTGACGAGAATGTTGTGAAAAGAGTGATCGGGTGAGGCGAACGGAAGTTGAGAGGGAGATATAAGTTCGTGAAGATAGAAAGAGAGTATATTACTAAAAGGGCAAGATAGAGAGGTGTGAGCACACATTTTCTTTCAAATAAATAATATAATCATAATAAAAGAAAAGAAGCATAAATTTACGCAGGACTAAAAAAATTCGTATTCTTGAATCGATGAAGATGATAAAAACCAATGAGAAGACAAAGAAGTATTTATAAATAATGCGGGTAGTACAGGCCCTGTTGTTGTCTCGAACTTCGGGGGCCTCCTATGTCCGATAGTGGACGTCTTTCGGCGGCTATGGTGATGATGATGATCTAATACGGAGGATCAGACAAGAAGGGCGTAATTGGACCGTATGAGTGGCAACATTATATTTCACTTTCTGTCAGGTGTCATCTTTGTCATTCTCATTATTTACTTGTCTAAAAGTAAAAATTGAATAATAACACTGAAGTTGTAGAAAGAATCGCGAGTATAAAGCAATCAGAGGTTGTGGCATAACAAACTAAGCTTTATTTTAATTTTGTGATATATCCAAACTAGTCAAATGACTCAGATCGCTCCCATAGTTAAAAACGTAATACACACAGGACAAAAATACATTCCTATAGCAAATGGTAGCAAGGTAATATTATAAATTTTCTTTTTTGTTATTTTTTTTTTGATAATTCCTAGAGCCATTTCATTATACGTTGAAATTCTTTACAGGTCCATTTCCATTTCCAAACATGGCAACTTGGAAAGGAGAGAGTTCTTTTGGACGATAGTAGAAAGATAGGAAAGAAAGAGCCTATGGTTTTAGTCATAGGGCATAAGTTTAAACTGGAGGTATGGGAAACAATAGTCAAGATGATGGCAGTTGGAGAAGTAGCTAGTTTTGTTGTGAAAAAAGAGGTAACTTATATTTAATTCATTTTAGTATTGATTTAATTAGCTTGTAATTTATATTTATAAACAGTTTTTATTTTATTAATTTTAATTCTTTTTCGAGTCAATTGTAATTGTCTTAGTATTGAAATGTGATTTTTATTTCTACAATATTTTTCATCATGTACTACTACAATTATTACAGGAATATATATATATAGCCCACCATCGAAATGTAATGTTAAGAGATTCCAAGTATTTAATGAGCCCTATATTCTCTTAAACAAAATATTGGACTGGACTTGTAAAACAAAATATTCACTAGTTCATGTCACTAGTATCACCAGGCATTAGTAGTTGTATGTTATGTGCAATATAAAAATGTTTTTTTTATCTGCCTGAGAGCTGCAACCAAAATAGAAATTTAAGTTGATTATATTTAACATATCAAATCAAGTGTTCTCCTGTATACATATCATTATTCTAAAATTCTAAATTCATCTGTGGTACATTTTATGGGACATCTAGAAAGAATTAGGTGTTTTCAAGATTTTTGTTTTGCAAACATTTGTATTGCAATGTTGTATCTCTATTAACTATCTCCAAGGTAGCTTTGGATGGGCGTAGAAAATATAAATTCCAAATTTACAGAGCCCAACTAGAAACCTTCATCAAACTACATATCATCAACAGCCTTTAACAGTCCACTGCTGGACATAGGCTCTCCTTAGAAAGGATCTAAAAATAAAGATGTTTAAATTTTTTCCAACAGCTAGTCTTCAGTTACCCATTTGTATCAAAAACATTGCGGGAGCTAGGACAAGATCAACATAAAATAAAACATTCATGTACCATGACCCTGCAGACTGAAGGCCTAGGCCATCCCGATTTAGATCACTTGATGAAAAACCCATGTGATTTGGAATTCATCATAGGTAAGTTAATATGAAAAAGAATGCCTTTAGTTAATAAATGGTGCAATTTGAATCTCATATTAGGGTGCATTTAATTGAGACAAACTTAGTCACACCAATCCAATACATTGGCTGCAATTATTAGGCATAGCAAAACTGATTGTCACACACACAAATTGATTGTCGCTTGCTTAATACTTATGTGCTTAAGGTATGGGTGACGGCAGACTTCTTACACCAGGTGATCGTCTGCCACTTTGCATCATAAAAAAGCTCACTAGCAATGTGTCAGATCATTGGAAATGTAAATCCACAGATATGAATACAGATTTAACAATCCAAATTCGTATTCTAATGCACATTACATTAGAATACGAATTTGCAAATAGAATTATTAGTTTTTGCCCAGTATAAGTTTTCCTAAGAATAATTAGTTAAATGTGAATATCGTAATTACTAATTAAGTTTAGTATTTGTATTTAAAATGAGATAAAAAAAATGTTTATGGTCCTAAAGAAAATAAATACAGTGAACAGTGAATAATAGAGATATAAAATAAAAATAATGAAAGATTAATTAATTAATTGATGGAATAAATTTTAGAAATCCTCAAAGTAGAGAGATCTGATGAGTATGAAAGAGAAATGTGGCAGCTGAGCACTGAGGAACGCACAGAAATGATCCCATCACTCAGAGAGAAAGGTAACAAGCTGTATATGCAAAAGAAGTTTGAAGAAGCTGAAGAAGCATATGGTCAAGCTTTAGGCATTTGTGAACAGCTCATGCTTAGGTATGACTCTAGTTATCATAGTGAAGACACAATTTTCGATTAGGAGACTTTGCACTATTAATGCTGACATGTTTAATAGACTAGATTAAAATTTGGTATGCTTTTGGAAAGCGACCAAGTTAAATATATAATATGTACTTTCACAGGGAAAGAAAAGGTGATGAAGAATGGGAAACTCTTAACAAAATTAAGCTTCCTATATTATTAAATTATGCTCAGTGTAAACTCATCAAAGGAGAATATTATCCTGTCATAGAACACTGCAGCACTGTCTTGGAGTATGATAGAGGTTTGTATAACATTAAATATTTAGCTAGTCATAAACCCAATTAGGACTATTTTTCTATACTGTAGAATATACTAGAGGTCTAGAATACTATCTGTACTGTACTAAATTCTTGTTGCTGATCCCAATAAATCTAAATAAATAAATGTAAATACTCTAAATTTCATTCACACATTGCTTTATACCGTGTTTAAGCGTGTGTCTAACTGTGCGTGAACTACAGTTAATAAGCTAAGCACACTACTTACCATGTACTCATTTCAGAGCTTTCTGCCTCGGTTCTATTGCCTCAATATTATAACTAAACAATATGTCATAACATTAATATTGCAACGCTTATGAACCAGAGACGAGAGAGCGAGCTTTTAAACCACACGATTTTGTTTTATGGAAGTCTTATCACTTATCTTTTGACAGTTAAAGTTCTCGTATTAGATAGATCTATTTAAACCTATACTTATTCACGTCAATACAATATAGGTTAATACATTACAGTTCAGTAGTATTTCATATATCATAACAATAATCACAAATCTTGTATTTCAGATAATGAGAAAGCTTTATACAGAAGGGCCAAAGCACACATAGGCGCTTGGAATCCAGATATGGCACAAGAAGATTTTATTAGATTGAAGTCGATAAATCCGTCCATGGGAAAGATAGTAGACAAAGAATTAGACAATATCAAAAAACTTAGAAAAGATAAAGAAAATAACGACAAAAATGCTTTAAAAAATATGTTTATTAGCAATAATGGGGCCCCATAGCAATTTACTACTGTGTGCATGAACCAAAAAAATTGACTATAATTATGTAACGGGTTTTGCAAAAGTTATGCAAGATTATATTATGTAACTGATAAATAAGTTATTTTAGTTTGATCTTTGCATTTAAGCTAAAAAATTACAATTTTATTATTTTTAAACACAAAGTTTGGTAAAACTTATCATATCGTACACAAAACTGAAAAAAAATATCACTCTGGCAACCATAGCTAAGGATAATTTCCAGTTATGAGTAGATTTTTATAGAGTTGGAGTCGATTTTAAACCACAACATAAATATTCTTTTACAAAGATCCCTTTCTATAGAGAATTTGCAGTGGCAACATTTTTTCACTAAATTTTTTAGGCTGGTCCTAAACCAGAAGTTACACATACACTCAAATAATATTTAAGTATTTTTTTGACACCGGAAATACTTTTTAACATCATATTCTTTCATACATCAAAATATTTATAGTAAAATATTTATTTAGTCAGCCATAATTGGTATTACATTCTTGTTACCTTTGTTGGTAGAATAAGTGCTTTAAATAATGAATGTAAGACATTAGACATACTCAATACATATATGCAATATTTATTCTACATTAAGAAGTCTATTGTGAAAGCTTGGTGACTTTTTACCTCATCAATGTGCTAATTCTAACTAGATACATATATCTTCCATGTTACTAGAGTGAAAATCTTTTGTACGAAATATTTCCTACTGTTGTAATTTATATTCAATACTTTTAAGACAATTATATCTCTTGTTTAATTTCGTGCCTTTTAATAACCCTTTTGTTCTGAATGCCCAATTTGCCTATTTTCAGATGGGACATTTATTGTGGTCAGTATGTAACTACTAGCGCTTGTGACTCCTGAGTTGCAGACGTTCATAGGCGGCGATAGTCACTTTCCATGAGGTGACCCGTCTGCTCGTCTGCCCCCTGTAACATAAAAAAAAAAACTTGTAAGTTCCTGCTTCTCATTATCGTGGGTTCGATTCCTAAACATATCTTAAGTGAATTTTATGATGGTAGGCAAACATCAACACTCAATCTCAGTTCGATCCACCTGTACTCACGGTTGTGGTATCCAGGTTTTGAGGTGATGCAAGGTAAAAAATGCTTGTTGTGAACTCGATGACGTGTCGTTTGCCAACTGCAAACTCTTAACGTCAAACTGCCCAGTAGAAAGTGCGGTTCCTGTATGTTTTTCTAAAAAATAAATTAATATAATAATGATACTGTTTTAATTTAATTCACATCAACAGCCTATACTAGTCTACTGCTGGACATAGGCCTCTTCTTAGAAAGGAGGTTTTGGCCTACTATACCACGCTGGCCAGACGGGTTGGTATAGGGTTTGTTTCAAGTTTTCCTTCTCTTTGCAGTGCTGTTGTCTTGCTTAGTTTGCTCCCTTAGTCGGCTCTTACGACACCCACGGAATGAATTGGGGTGGTGACAATTTGTATTCTTAATCCGTCACCACACGGACCTTAATTTAATTACACTACAGATAATAAGAGAAAATACTTCACATCAACAGCCTTTGATAGTCCACTGCTGGACATAAGCTCTCTTTAGAAAGGAGGTTTTGGCCTACTATACCACGCTGGCCAGCCGGATAGGGTTTGCGTCAAGTTTTCATTCTCTCTGCAGGGCTGGTATACTAAGTAGTTTTAAAAAAATACTTAAATAACATAAATAAGATACAGTAAAAGAAATTATAACCCCTCGCAGGGGTAAAAGTGTCCTCCAAGGCTTACCAAATAGTTAGAGTCAATAAGTTAATATATGAAGGTATAAATCGATTTATACCTTCTTCGACTCTAATTGACTCATTTCCTAAAGAATACCCCTATGATCATAGGGGTATTCTTTAGGAAATGCCTAACTAAACGCAAATAATAAATCAGGTTCAATCAAATGGACTTTACTCGCAGCCCTGTTACGCTTTTGTCACTGTCATTTTGAGGATGTTCTAGTAAATTACAATACTTTTTCGTAAAGCATTTAATTTTATCTGTCTCTGTTGCACATACTAATTATGTAGATTTGTAAGTGAATAGCAAACAAAGTTTAGAAAAGTTTATAGTTTATCTCTTAAAGGTTAGGTTGGTTAGTTAGTTTTAAGAGTGTAAACATTTCAACCGATTAAATAATTCTGAATTTTTAAAATGGCTGAAGAAAATGTAATGAAACATAATGATCCTATGGAGACAGAAGAAAAAACTGAAATAAATGAAGAATATGCATATTTAGATAGAGGTGGATTTTCGTCTGAAAAGTTTAAAATAGAACTGCGTGGTTTGCCAAAGTTTTATGGGATTGCCGTATGTTTACTTTATTGTTTTATAAAATATTTAAAGTACCATATAATAAATACTTTTTAAACTATGTTTTATGCCACACTTAATACATTCGTATCTAAAGTCTACCCAGTTTAATGCTATTTGGTAACTTTAGGAAAACTATTTCTTAATGCACATAACCTTTAGTAAGACGAGGTAAAAGATCATGATTCTAGACCAATTCTATAGCAATGACTCTAGTAAAAGCCTTATTTATATCTTGTATGTTGTTGGTTATGATCAGGCGTCATAAATGAATAAATTAGATACATTTGTTTGTGAAAAATTGAATGCTTATTTATGTTTTACATAGGTTATAAATCATTATCTATTAATATTGTTTCAGGAATTAAAAAAGCTTATGAACCTAAAACTAGGCTTAAACACAAGCAAGATAAAGAGGCCCAAAAATGGTAGTCATTGGCTGTTTGCATGTTTTCAAAATGATGAGGAGCGAACAAAAGCTATTGAAGCACTAAACGGTTACTCTTGGAAAGGTACTCTTTGTTCATAATTTATTCTTGAGTAATGATGTACTGATGCTGATGGTTTGAAGACCGAGTTTTCAATTACTTTAGACATTTATTTTTGTTAAAATAGTCTACATGCTTATAGATAAAACGGTCTTACTTACTATATTGCTTACATGAATTTCAATTATTTATTTTTTTATTTCTGAAAGGTACGCTTAGAGAATTATTGTCATTACATGTTACAGGCTAGAGTAGCTACCCAGATTTTACATAGATTTTCGCGAAAATTTGTAAGTACCAAAATGTATCTTAATTTTCAACTTTTTTATTTTCTTGGAATTATTCTTTTATTTGTGCTGTTAGACGTTTCTTTTTGCCAAATCTCGTGATTCTAGGTCAATGGGAACTACCATATAGGTTTTTGACCCAAAACCTATAGGGTACTTCCGGTTGACCTAGTATTGTCAATTTTGGTTAAAAGCAAGGTCTTACAGTTGAGCTGTAAAGAGAAAATTCTGAAAAATAAAAAAAGTTGAAAATTAAGGTAAATTTTGGTACTTACAAGTTTTCGCGAAAATTAAAATTTGCCCATATCTTTTTATCGTGTTGACTCAGGACCTTGATTTTTATACACCTAATAGGGACCATAGACTTAGTATCTGGTATAAATTTCAACTTGCTAGGTCTACCCGTTCCTGAGAAAATCGGTGGACAGATGACAGACAAGAAAGTGATATTAGGGTTCCTTTTTTACCTTTTGAGGTACAGAACCCTAATAAGGCAAAATACCGTGTCACTCGTGTATTTGACCCTCTGCTTATTAGTGTTATGAAAGAAATTTACTGGCCATAATCACAGACATCATAACATCACCAAAAGGCTGGTACATATCACTTTTAGAAATGGACAAGCCCTGAAAGCTATGTATAATTTGGCTGTTTCTTGTTTTGCTCAGACTCATTTTTAATGTGTAGCCCCTATAAGGTTCTTACATGTGTACCTACTTTGTAAATGCCATTCTATTAAATGAAGTTAAACTTTAAATTATTTATTTTTTTCTTGGTAAGTGAAAAACAGATGTTTCTGCTATATATTATGCTTGTTTGTGTTTTCTTCTTTATCAAATTTAAAGAAAAAGTTTTAACTAATATTCATGTCTCTCCAAGGTAAAACACTAATAGCTGAAGTAGCAAAACCAGCACCAGATCCATTAGTTAGAAAGCGAAAACGTGAGGAAGTAGAAGGGAATGAACAACAAAGGAAAAAGAAAGAGGATGATAATAAGAGCCAAGAAGAGAGGCTGAAAGATGCTACTACTCCATACTGGAACTTACCATACGAGGAACAGGTATAGTTTAGAAAAACTATATCCTAAAATAGAAATATCTAAAAATAACATAGCTGATTTGATAAGTCTCTATGACTAGCTGTTCCCAGCCATTTTAAATAGCTTTGGTTGTTAGGTTTCAGCATGCTACAGTAAAGTATGCATTCAGTAAGTTACGTAGCCAATAACCTTACTGAAAAAATATTTGAAACAAAAATAAATTATTAAATGTGACCCATAACGCACAGTTCCAGGGATTAGCTTGTTTAAAAAAAGGAGCAAGAATGATTTATTATATTAGAATACATTTTATTTTGACTTTTGATTATTTCTGTAATTTTTTTCGTGATCATAAATCATCATTGTTACAATATTAATAACTTTTGGTATTTGCTGCATAAGTATTTTTGTGAGTTTAATGCCTATGTGAAATGGCTATAAGCCCAAAATCCATCTAAGTGGCGTGCAATGGGAGAGGCCTATGTCCAGCAGTGGACTGCGATAGGCCGGTGATGATGATGGAATGACTTAAAGATTTATTTTAGGTACTTAGAACAAGTTGTTGTTATCTTTATTATCATGTTTCAATGTACAATATTCTGTTAAAGTCTCCGTTCACAGCTCAAACTAAAAGAAAAAGAAATAAAAAACATACTTATGAAGTTTGACAATGAAATATGGAAAATTGACAAATTAAAGAGACAAGAAATAGAAGCAAAAAGGAAAAAATTTAATGGACTTAGTTTTGAACTGAGACCCATAGAGAAATCACCAGTAGCATTTGGATATAGGAACAAATGTGAGTTCACAGTTGGGATTGATGAAGAGACTAAATTGCCCACTGTGGGATTCAGATTAGGCAGTTACGTAACTGGCACGGTTGGTGTTGGACCAATACAGTCTATGATCCACATTTCAGAGCAGACAAAAAAAGCGGTTTTGGTGAGTTTATAACTTTCAAACTTACATAATACATGTATTTTACTTCGTAAAGACAAAGTTGGCTATACTATTTCTTATTTTCTTCAATCAATCTTATGTCTTGACTACGACATTTCTGCACAGTAGGAAGTTCGAAACCACTTAAAAGCTGTACAGTCGATTTTATACTTAAAGCTGATGATATACAAAGGCTTGACAGTTCACTTTCTGTGAGGTCACTTGGTGTTGGCAGAATACCTACTGCTACTTCCCTTGTAATAGTGGCATTATGCTGTGCTGAGCTGAGCTAACAAATATTTTTGACTCATGGAGTAATGTTTCTATATGCTTGTGTGTAATTTAAAAATTTCATTATATGTAACTTCTTTCTTTACAATTATTTATCCAGACATATTAAAGAACTACATAAGTGTTATTCTTAATTCTTCCACCAATGGAAAGCTATGAGTAACATAGGCTACTTACACATGGGTGGTACCTGCAAGCATAAGCTAGTATATAATAAATGTGAAAGTGAGTTGGTTTGTTCGCTTTCACGCCTAAACCACTAAACCGATTTCGAAAATTCTTTCGAGTAACCTAGGCTACTTTTCACCTCGATAACCGACTATACGCGCCAGCGTATATTGTTGATTATAATGGTATATATATTTATGTATCAATATTATTTCAGTTGTTCCAAGAGTATATTCGGAAGTCAAAGTTAGCGCCGTTTTCACCAGCAGATTACTCAGGACACTGGCGGTATCTTACCGTTAGGGATTCAACATCCACGGGGGAAGTGATGGTTATTGTGTCTATGCATCCTCAAGTAAGATATATTTCTGGTAAACAAATGTAGTTACGTTGACAATTCAAATAAGTTGCTGTTTAACAAAAAATATATCTCTCATTGTAGGCGAGAATTGCCATGAGGTTTTTATATGCTGAACTTGTTTAGCATCCCACTATCTGAACAGGTTTTTTGAAGTGAAAACTTCTTTCGGCGCGTTCAGCATTTTTGTACAACTAACAAAAGAATATATTTTTTGAGATGGAAAAAAATCATGGAAGGTCGCGACACTGTTACCGTTACCGACACCTCTGTATATAAGTATCTACATACATTAGCCCCGTTTACACGAGAGTTGAGTTTCGTTTGCAATACATTGATAATAATATTATATAAACATATATTGTGTATATACATTGTAATAATAAAAAATTAAAAAATTTAAATTATGTTGTGGGGTGTGTTATAAAAGAAATATAAAATAAATTGGTGGCATCAAATAGAAACAAAATAACAAAATAAAAGTCTCGGGCGCCAGATACCACCTTAAAAGAACACAGAACCCACCACAAACACAACAAATACCTCGGACATCTCAGCCAGCACCGAACCTTTTTAAAACAAGGCGGGAGGACAGCTAAAGAATACAAGATGTTAAGTTCTAATGGCTGTTTATTATCCCGTAGTGTCTGTAGAGTACAATGTGTCTTATGTCTCTAATTACAATAGGTAATTCTTATACACAAACTAGTACTGTCATTAATGCAATCCTTTCCAATAAGAAAAATATAAGGTTTAATAAGCTTTAAAGAGTCACATGAAGACCCAAAAAGAAAAGAGTATAAGGGTAGTTGTAGCAACGCCCTACTCCCTTAATTAAAATTAACCCCTTTGGGGACCTGTATAGGTTTTTAAACAAAGTCGCATAAAGACTTAATAGACTAAACAATAAACTCTAAGGGTAGACATAGCATTGACCTACTCTCTAATAAAAATAACACCCCTTAGGGACCTGCAGTGTTCAATGCCACGTCGCCAAGAAAAATATAACAAGAACACATACCGATGACCTTGGATCAGTCCGAACGAAATGAAATCAAACCAAACTCCGAAACTTCTCACTCCGGTTCCCACGTGGTGTAAGAGGCGGGTTAGCACTCCCCGGCTCCAGACCATGGCGTACAGCTAAGCAGCTTTTTCTACCATTCTGGCGCTCCACAGCAAACCAATTTCATGGGGTTAAACTCCGGCGAGAGACAAAAAATCCGAATGCCACGCAAGGACATTCCAATAAGAAAGTAAAATAATTTAGGTAATGTAAAGACTTTAGATATAAGCTAAAAAAAAGAAAAGAAAAGAGAAAAGAACCCTGATTCATCTGCAAATAAGGAAAAATCATAGGTTAAAAGCCTATCTACAGGATGAACCATAACTCTGACAAGAAATCATATTCACATTACCCAGGGTTCTAAATGCTTTCACAAATCAAGCAGCGGCATTATAAGCATTATAAGCATTGCTCTGTACACCAATTAAACAACAGAGTTACAACCACAGAGATTCCGCCAAGCAAAGCGTGAAGCACGTGGCCGAAACAAAACTTACCTTTTTAACGAAAATAAAAACTCAATCAATAATTTTGATTCTTAACACGAGGTTTGGCAAATTGACAAATTAAAGAGACAAGAAATAGAAGCAAAAAGGAAAAAATTTAATGGACTTAGTTTTGAACTGAGACCCATAGAGAAATCACCAGTAGCATTTGGATATAGGAACAAATGTGAGTTCACAGTTGGGATTGATGAAGAGACTAAATTGCCCACTGTGGGATTCAGATTAGGCAGTTACGTAACTGGCACGGTTGGTGTTGGACCAATACAGTCTATGATCCACATTTCAGAGCAGACAAAAAAAGCGGTTTTGGTGAGTTTATAACTTTCAAACTTACATAATACATGTATTTTACTTCGTAAAGACAAAGTTGGCTATACTATTTCTTATTTTCTTCAATCAATCTTATGTCTTGACCGCTAGTAAGACATTTCTGCACAGTAGGAAGTTCGAAACCACTTAAAACTGTACAGTCGATTTTATACTTAAAGCTGATGATATACAAAGGCTTGACAGTTCACTTTCTGTGAGGTCACTTGGTGTTGGCAGAATACCTACTGCTACTCCCTTGTAATAAGGGGCATTATGCTGTGCTGAGCTGAGCTAACAAATATTTTTGACTCATGGAGAAATGTTTTATATGCTTGTGTGTAATTTAAAAATTTCATTATATGTAACTTCTTTCTTTACAATTATTTATCCAGACATATTAAAGAACTACATAAGTGTTATTCTTAATTCTTCCACCAATGGAAAGCTATGAGGAACATAGGCTACTTACACATGGGTGGAACCGCAGGCATAAGCTAGTATATAATAAATGTGAAAGTGAGTTGGTTTGTTCGCTTTCACGCCTAAACCACTAAACCGATTTTGAAAATTCTTTCGAGTAACCTGGGCTACTTTTCACCACTATAACCGATATACGCGCCAGCGTATATTGTTGATTATAATGGTTATATATTTATGTATCAATATTATTTCAGTTGTTCCAAGAGTATATTCGGAAGTCAAAGTTAGCGCCGTTTTCACCAGCAGATTACTCAGGACACTGGCGGTATCTTACCGTTAGGGATTCAACATCCACGGGGGAAGTGATGGTTATTGTGTCTATGCATCCTCAAGTAAGATATATTTCTGGTAAACAAATGTAGTTACGTTGACAATTCAAATAAGTTGCTGTTTAACAAAAAATATATCTCTCATTGTAGGCGAGAATTGCCATGAGGTTTTTATATGCTGAACTTGTTTAGCATCCCACATCTGAACAGGTTTTTTGAAGTGAAAACTTCTTTCGGCGCGTTCAGCATTTTTGTACAACTAACAAAAGAATATATTTTTTGAGATGGAAAAAAATCATGGAAGGTCGCGACACTGTTACCGTTACCGACACCTCTGTATATAAGTATCTACATACATTAGCCCCGTTTACACGAGAGTTGAGTTTGGTTTGCAATACATTGATAATTATATTATATAAACATGTATTGTGTATATACGTACATAGATAAGTATATATGTTCATGTACATGTACTCGAATATATGTACTCGATTATAACAGGAAAAAAAAAGCTTTCGGTGAGGTCGTGGCATCACGCCGGTCGAGCTGACCGAGCCGATACACAATACATTTCTGACATGCTTCCATCATATTTTTACAGACATTGACAGAAAACGAACTAAATGAAATAAAAAGAGATTTAATCGAACATTTTAGTTCTGACGAAGCGGTCGCTTGTGGCGTGAAATCATTATACTTTGAACAGATCATCAAAAGGTATTTATAAGCACGATCTTCATCTATCGTATTAAATGACTTCTGCTTTTATGCTTACCTGGATCACTTTTGGTACAAACTTTGTCCCGGTTTTAGGCTAGAAGATATAAACTTCTAAATATCAATATTAATTTATCATTTTCAGGCGAGTAGGCGAAGATGGATCAAAGCCCGTACATTTGTCAGGTTCTACGCATATTACAGATACCATACTTGGAAAGCAGTTCAGAATATCACCAGAGGCATTCTTTCAGGTACTTTTTTTGTAATTGCAAACATAGTTAAACAAACTTGACCTTGGATAACGTGTACCTATGTGTTAATTCGATGCGATACTATGAAGCGGAATCATTGCAGTTCTAACATTTAATTTAATTATTTGTAAATTTATTTATTTATTATTTAAATTTCCTCAATGTTTTGGCATTTAATATTGAATTTATTGACTTAAATATAATTTATTTAATACTTTATGCAATTTTACTACTTAATGCAACTACTACCTACTAGATATTGCCTTTAGCGTAAATTTAGATAATATTTAAACTTTCGTAAGACTGTATTGAAAGATTAACTTTGTCTTTTGTTTCTTTAATTACAATTTTAAATAGTGACTTTAATTGAAAAAAAAACGAGTATGCTTTAGAACACACGATTGAAGAAACTTTTTAAAATAAATGAGAGAAAGAGAGAAAGAAAATGTGTGCTCGCACCTCTCTCTTGCCCCTACAGCAATATACGAAACGTAACTCTCTCTCTCTATCTATCTTTACTAACTTAGATGTCCCTTTCAACTTCCGTTCGCCTCGCCCGATCACAGTTTTCGTAACGTTCTCGTCACGCATTCACCAGCTTACTTCCAAAGTTTTACTTCAATAAAACATAATTATTTTTGTTCTAAATAGATTAACACAGCAGGTGCTGAAGTGTTGTACCGTAGCGCTATAGAAATGAGTCAAGTAAAGACAGAGTCCACCGTAGTGGACATCTGCTGCGGAACGGGTACTATTGGACTTTGCTTTGCACAGGTAAAGTAGATTTCAAATATACATTAACATTAAAATAGAACATTTAACATGCTATTATTCATTTCAGTTGTAAATAATTAACTATGTAAACAAATCTTGCCTATTTGTAATTTGACGTATTAAATTAATTTGGCATCTTGAAGCTGATCTGTTAATTTTGAAGAATCCAATCCAATATAAGGCTTGATGCTCGGGCAGAACGATGATATCTGAAGAAGCCAGGACGTGGATAATGGAACTGATTTTTACTTTTTAATGCGGTTCACTACTAGTTTATTAGCGCGTTAGTTTTCAATTTATACCTCTTTTTAGACATATACCTTTATGACCTCAAATGACGTCGCAACTGAAAAAAATCTAGGCGTTTAAAAGCATCACTTACAGCTAATTAGCTCCAGCCGCAAAAACAAGTCTTAAATATTCCTAACATTGTACTTTATACAATAGTTTATTTAATGTTATCTGTATTACAGCATTGTGGCAAAGTACTGGGTTTAGAAATGATTGCCGAAGCGGTAAAGGATGCGAAAGCGAACGCTGAGTTAAACAAGATAGAGAATTGTGAGTTCTTTACTGGGAAGGCGGAGGATATCCTACCTTCTGTACTGGCCAGAGCCGCGGCTGACGACATTATTGCGATTGTAGACCCACCCAGAGCCGGACTACGTAAGTTTGCGCCACTACTGAAACATATAGTTCACATACTTGTAGGATTTTTAAAAATTAAAAAGCATTGTAATCTCAGTTCATCGCTTTCGATATACCCTTTTGTTCACTCCATTTATAAAACCAAAACGATTTACCTGCACTTTGGTATCGTTTAGGCTTATTATTTACAATATCGTCGCCTGGGAAAGTAATAGAGTTAGATACAATTAAAAAAAAAAGTCCAAAGCAAAAACGATTGTGTAAAAGTCATGGTTTATGTCGAAGCCATAATTATGTTTTGTTTACGTTTGCGAATAAGTTTTATATAATTCTTATATTAAGTACTGAGCTTTTTTATCTACAAATAAAAATGAAACGAACGAAGGATAAATTATGTTTGTAATTATACTTACCACACACACGCACACACAGTATATACTTACCACAAAGACAGGCAAAGAGATTCTCCGTTCATTTTTATTTATTTATATAGAACATATTTACGAACCATAACATTAATTCACAGACATGCGCGCAATAACCCAACTCCGGAACACAAAGAAAGTAAACCGCTTGGTTTATATATCATGCAGTCCGTCATCTGTCGTCAAGAACTTCATAGACTTGACCCGTCCATCCTCTAAGACTCTAAAAGGGGCGCCTTTTATACCTGTGAGAGCTGTTCCTGTAGATATGTTCCCGCAGACCAAGCACGTGGAGTTAGCAATACTGTTCGAGAGAGAGGTAAGAGTAATAGTAGTCTATGAAATTAGAGCGAGAGGTAAGAGTTTTAATATAAGTCTATTGAATTAGAACGCTAGAACTTAGATAAAGTGTCCATAAATATACGACGAGTTCCTGAAATTTCGCAGCGGTTGTTACAGCTGCTGCAGCATCAGGTCAAGGTTACCATATCATGGGAATACCACTAAAGTAAGAGTACACCAAATTTCAAATTAATCGGAGTTGTGTAAGTTAGTAATATCCCTTCATCAACTAAGAAATGGGCTGATGATCTTCACAAATTTTAGCTTCACAATCTCGATCACTTCAGCTTTAAAAAAACTCGCATCATAATCGGTTTATTCGTTTAGGAGCTACGATGCCACAGATAGGCTTAAAAACTAATGTTGTCAAAGGTAAAAACCCAATTAGAATTGTGTATTTTTTCTGTTCTAAATAGCCAATACAGTGGTTGCATCTACAAATACTTTAACTTTTATACAATTTGTGGATCATATAAAGTGTTGTCTCATATGGGTAACGAACCCACAACACTCATCTCAGTAAAAAGCGGCAGGGTGACCACTTAAACCAATACGCCATCCGTGCAGTCGCAGTGCCTCCTGCTTTGGGAATTATTATGTTTTATGAAATATTATACCTTGTTTTCTTTTTATTTACAGAGTTCAGGCGAAACTGAAGAAGATAATACCGGTATAACAAATAACGTAGAGACTGTTAAGTCTGAGGATGTTCCCAATGAAGCCCTAAATGAAAATAGTGAAACTACAAGTAATGGAAATAAATGACAATGTAGAGCTCTAACGGTTGAATAATAAAACTTTATCTATTGACAGTTAATTTATTGTTTAATTTCTTTTTCGGTCAAAGCGAAGCTTATTTGTTAGACCTAATTGACTTTGATTCAAGTTTGCCTTCTCTTTGCGGTGTTCTTGTCCTGCGTAGTTAGCGTAGCGTAGCTCCCTTAGTTGGCTCTAACGACACTCCGTATTTTTAATTTGTTTTGAATGCAAGGCAGGATTTGTGGGGGAGATAAGGCATGCCACACCTTTTTTTATTTTTTCTTTCCGTGCGGGAAACCCCTCGGATACCACCTATCGGTGGCATGTCGGACTCGAACCGACTAAAACCGCACGCCGTCTCGGGTACTAATAGCCGTGGAACCATGTATACCCTAGAAAGGAAGTCCCTGGTGCCCTGACATACCGCGGGCCATCTACAGACGAGTAGACGACCCCCCCGTGTAGGAACCCCATGTTCCCTCTGCTCCCTGGAAGCGTGCGCGCTTCGCAACGCGCTCGCCGCCACCCCGGCCTGCTTCTGCTAGGGTGACAGATAGCCTCACCTGTCACCCCCAGGCCTGCGCTTATGGAGGACGGAGGTCGTTCTGCGACCTCCGGCGCCTGAGTCGCCTGCGGTACCTAGCCCGTTCCCGGGCCTGGCGGGCCGGGAGAGTTCTAAACCTCTCCCGGTTCCGCTCCGCCGTCTCCTAGGCATGCTAAACCTGAGTGTGCCTTACTGAGATACCTTGGACTATTGACTAACTATGAATACATTAATATTATTTTAACGGGAATTAACGCGATCTCTTATTTAGGGTATTACATACCTCTGGTTTAAAAACATACCACCTCGCTTTTCTGCGCAATCGGTTAAACACCAGAATAGGGACTCATCGGTTTGCTTACAGAATAGGGACACTGTTAGTGTGGTATGTGACGGTACATGGCGACACAAAAACAACAACAATATCGAAAATGTGCGGGTAGATGAAGAGCCTTCTACTTCACGGATTCGACGACGGAGGGCGTGCGCCGATGAGCCAGTCAGCCTGTGACCACGGCCGGTGCAACCTGGTCGAAACGTCAGGCAAACCAGAGGTATGTAATACCCTAAATAAGAGATCGCGTTAATTCCCGTTAAAATAATATTAATTATCATGGAACGCGAAAGTTTAAAAGTTAGTATGAATACATTGTGTTTGTGCATAGGTATCAAACAGTAAGCTCGGCCCTTAGACCTGAACAACCATTTCTACACATGGGTTGTTACAAGACGGCTGTTCAAGGGGTTGTCCGGTCAATGGCACTGTGCGGCGCATCGGTGTGGGCGTCAGCTGTGACTGCCCAGATGGTCAGGGTTATACCTGCTTGCCGCACCGTGTCGCCAGAGGCGATGTGAGCGTTGGCCGGAACTCCCCCGTTAGATTTTGAGGCGGAAGTGCTCGCCGAAGTTTATCGGCGGGTGACTGAGTTCCGCCGAGTGGCATGAGGCCGCTTGCCGAGCCTTTTAGCTAGGCTGTAACAAGTTTTAGTGAACATTCGTTACAATAAAGTCACAGACAATTTTTTTATTAATTTTGATATATATTTTGAAAATATGTACTTAACAAAAATATAAAGCTTTGTGGTTAGTATTATGGCGAATGCTCCAAAGAATTGTTCGAACCTGTACCGGCCGCAATTTTCACCCATCACTTGAATAATTGACACTTTATTACTGTGCTTATTTTGTCTCATATAACCAATCTGTGGAATAAATATGCGACTTCGTAATTATTTGTGACTCTTGAGCTTACGGGTGTTCATGAGCGGTGGTAATCACTTCCTTTTGAAAATGACAAGTGAAGCTAGTCCTTTTATACTTTTCTTATAGTTCTATGATAATAGTGAGGCATTAATAGGCGTTTATCGTATCCTATACAAGTAGAAAGGATTATAACTCGTATAACGAGAGGATAGAAAATAATGAAAATAAACTACGTGTGTAAAATAAAAGTAGCTTAGAGGCACATAGCGGCCAGATCGACCGGAGTATACAATGTCACAGAAAACCGGTGTTAAATAATATTTTCTTGCTCTTGCTTTTGAGTCAAGAATGAGCTCAAAGAACAGCAACAAACTTTTGACTCGTGAGTTGTAGGTATATATGTTTGATGGTAGTAATATACCGTTAGGTGATTCGTCTTTTCGTTGCCCCTAGAAATTCCCGCGACCGCGCGACCCGCGACCTCAGCTCAGGGCGCCATTTGGCGGTGGTCAGCGGGCCTTCGCCGCCTGAACCAGTACGAGGACCGAATTGACCATGATGGAGGCGCCGGGGGGCGGAACACGACGGAGCCCATGGAACAAAAGCGCCTCCGTCTTGTCCGAGGCCACCCGTAAGCCCAGTGCCGCAATGCGCCCGACCACCAGAGAGACTCCCCTGGTGGCTAGACGCGCAGCCTCTTGAAAGTCCGCCCCCCGGGCTGTTACTAGATTGTCACCGGCGTAACAAATAATGCCTAAACCGGGGGGGAGGCGACCTCGAAGGGCCCAGTCGTAACCTATGTTCCACAGGAGTGGTCCGAGAGTCTGCCTTGCGGAAAACCGCACGACATGGGCCGACGCCTCAAAGCACCATTTTGGTCCTCCTACATGACGGTACGCTCCTCTAAGTAGTCTGCCACTAGCCGCCTCAGGTACTCTGGCACCCCATGATAGTGGAGTGCTTCTTTGATGCAGCTGAATGGCAGATGTTGAATGCGTTGACGATGTCCAACGACACCGCCACCAGCCAGCCGCCACAGCTCACCGCCTCTTCGGCCACGGTCCTGAGGCGCGAAACAGCGTCGATCGTTGAAAGCCTTGCTCGTAAACCGGATTGGGCGTCTGACAGTTCGGGGCCCACCTCGCAGAGGTGCCGGACGATGCGGGCAGAGAGTATTCTTTTAAAATTTTTACCCGCCTCGTCCAGCAATACGATGGGCCTGTAGGCCGCGACCGAATCGGCAGACCGTCCTAACTTCCTCAATAGAACCAGCTTCCCGCTCTTACAGCACTCAGGGAAACGCCGCGGGAATAGGACCTCCACCACTTCCTGCAGGAAGCTGGGCTGGAGAGTTTCCGTAAGGGGGGGCCCGACGCGAGGTGCTTTTGTCGCACCGCACGATAAAGGGTCCCGACAAACCCTGCCACAACCAACACTGTCATTTAACTCTTTTATTTTCCCTCTGGTCCTAATTAGAGCGAAAGCTTTTTTAGATCCTATACCTCTAAAGTTAAATTTAACTATAACCTAATATTAATTTGTTATTCGATAACAAATTAATATTAGGTTATAGTTAAATTTAATTCCTATTTATATTACTTTCCGAAACGCATTAATGAAGCAAACATTCTCATCCGTACTAGTCCTGTCGTAGTGAATGAAATTAAACGTTAATCTGAAAGTGCCGCCTCATCTCGCCGTCCGAGGGCGGCGCGTAATTCTGAAGGAATTTAATATCGGCACCGACGGCACCCGGTGAATTCCACCGCAGAAGCGCCACCATTAATACAGATTGCTCACGGCTACGTACCACAATCAAACTAGTTGTTAAAAACGGGTTGTCTTGAACAAAGCACATTTTTTTGGTTGATTATTACTTACTTTTAGGTATTTCAATCGAATTTATTTAATCAATCAGTAGCAACTCAATCGCAACAAAACGACCTCCTACTGCAATCCACGAATTATTTTGTTTTAGAAAGAATACCAATAACTTATTAACCCCATTAGCTAATTTAAACGTTATTAGGACGACGGCTGGGTCGAACTCCAACCACATGGTTACAAGTATGGCGCCTTAATCATTTCGCTACCGACGCTGATTTATTTCATGTTTTAATGGTGGCAGTAAAGACTTTAAGAAACTTGTCGAAGACACGGAAGTGTCGAGGTGTGAAAACTGGCATCTAATAGTAATCCTAGAGTAAGTTTCAGCAGCCCAATCTAGCCCCGTTTTTGTAAACTAAAATATAAAGAAATCCTGTTCATTTCTTGATAGGTGTACACAAGATGTAAGCGCGCCGCCCTCTATGTTCACCGGATTGGCGTTGGGAGATAGATGCCGTGTTATTTAGGTCAGAATGTGAACCAAAGACAGCAAGCCTATCTGACTTTACTAGTTAATATCTACTTTCAAAGATTATCCAATCCTTAGAGGGAACATATTTTCTTTGCTTTTCAGGTTTGAACCCAAAGGAAATCTTTGACAGACCGCAGAGGGAACGGACGCGGTCTACGCTTTTTCTCTGGCGGAAAAAGATACAGTTTTAATTTTCAGGTGCTACTTAAAATTTTAATGTTTTGACACCATAAATTTCTACTACTACATGTTACTATCTACTACTTGTTTAATCTACAATCAGTCAACTAACCGCCCGATTCTATTTGCCCGTTGTTCAATAAAAATTTAAACATTTTCTCTAGCACTTTTGTGCTTGACTGTACTGAGGCATAGCTATACCTAGTTATCAATACCTATTGCGACCCTCGGCATACCAATATGAACCGCAATAAGCATCTCTACAGCCTTAAACGTAGTCAGAGACTCCACGGACCAGTCATTGTCTTTCTTGCTTTCGTCGGAAGCAGATCGGTGACAGACTTTTATAAAAACATGTGTTAGAAGTAGTGATGGCTATCAAGTGTATAATAGCTGTACTTTCTCTATTCATCTGCTCACATTTTTCTTATCGAATCAACAAAAATGTTGGTAAGTTTTTTAACGTGTTAACTTAAGCGGGTTCGATCGAGATTTTCACTAAGTAAGTGATAATTCTTAAGCTAAGTATAAATTCCACCACATAAAATACCGTTCGTTAAAAAAATATCTAATTTTTTTACGATTTTATTATAAATAATAAACTTATTCATTCATTGTCTTCCGAAATTTTATTTTTTGAAAAAACGATACCTACCTTACTCGATTTTTAAGGACGAATTTATTTTATTTAAAGAATTTGTTTTAATTATTACTTGCAATTATGAAATAAATCAATATCGTAAATAAGTATACTCGATACCCGATGTTGAGTATTTACTGGTGTCTATAAGCAATGATATCATCGGTGTTTTCACTCTTTTGTAACGGTGCCCACAATGACCAAAACTAATGACAGTAGTTTAACTACAGTCAATGGCAGTCACTGCCGTCCCTATTAATTGATAGAAAATGATTTCTAGATTACCAGTTGGCAGAAAGTGATTCAGTCTTAGATCCAAGTGGCGAGATATTACTCAAATGGCGAGTGGACTACAATAAACGAAAGATACAATTTCAAATAATAGTATCCGACAAGGGCCCATCATACAACTGGTTTGCATTGGGTTTTTCTGATAGAGGTGCATTCAATAACTCAGATGTCTGCTTATTCTGGACAGATTATAAAAGGAATCGACACTTTGAGGTAGGAAACTTTATTTCATTTTAAGCTATATAAGGGGGCCTCTTCGACATATTGCAATGTTAGTTACTTCTTCCCTTTCGAGACATGCGGTAACCCTTTCCCTAGTTCCTCTACTTTCTTCGTCTGTCCTGTTTGTAAACAATTACCAGCAAACCGGGGCAACCGCCCCGAGCGGCATTTTCAGGGGGCGCCAAAATCATAATATAGTATGATTAAAAATAAAAAACTTGCTCCACAAAGCGCCTAGCATACGGAAGCCAGGTTGGCTCACCGTCGACTTGTAAGAAAAAGGCGCCACACAGGCCCACACTATAAGTGAACATATATTTGTGAGTTTTTTTAAAGTAATTTATCTCAAAGAGATAGGGGCGCCACTATCAAGTTTTTGCAACGGTTCGACAAAATCGTAGATACAGGGCTCGGTCAAAGTTAAAAAAAAAAGTAATATACTAATAGGGAAAGGGCCCGAAATTGATGATGATGAAAACAGCCCAAGTAAAAACATTTTCAATTATTCCTATAAAGTTGTCATAACTAGGATTAAACATGAAACACAGATATTATTGTCAACTTATTGTAAGACCTAAACTTCAAGATAGAGACTTCTGTCTTTATGTATTCTAATATATATTTTGTAAAGGATATGCACGGAGATGACATTGGAAAACTAACTAGAGATCCTAAGCAAGATTGCGAAGCGTTTTACTTGGATCCTGAGACTCAAAGTTTAGTCTTTGAACGATACTTCGATACTTGCGACAGTGACGACTATATTATCGAGGTGAGTCCTCTTATAAAAAAAACTGTAACTACAATACATACTTTATAACAAAATAACAAAACTTAAAAATTTAGATATGACAAAACTTGGCAAGGAGCTGCATCCTTGCCAAGTTTTATCGTAGCTAAATTATTTTATTAATTAGTTTATTGTAATATTAATAAGATAGCATTATCTTGAAATAAAATAGGCTATCACAGATTGGATAAAGTGGTGCACCAATAATGTTAGTGCAACTGGAGTCGTGAACGAAGATTCAACTTAAAGAAATGTAATAGACATAAATAATATCTAAAAAACGTTAATCTACTCGAATGATGAATTATTTAAGAACGAATTACATAAAAAACACTTAAACTCCATATCGCTGTGATTTAGAGAGAAAACATTAAAAAATCTAATTTTAATATTTTAAAGCTGAAGAGTTTGTTTGTTTGGTGGGTTGAACACGATAATCTCAGGAACTACTGATTCAACTTGAAAAAATATTTTAATGTTGGGTAGGCCATTTCTCGAGGAAGACTATTTAGCATCGAGCTATGACCAATAGGTGCCGAGTATCAATGAAAAATGTTGCTAAAACGGGGAAAGTTTATTCCTTTTGAATATCTCAGACTAAATTGCGCCGGTCAGCTAGTAATGTACCTATTTCATTCTTTCTTTTTTTTTTTTTTTTTTTTTAAATCAACCCCCGCATTAGGAATATATCCTGTGTCGCGGGGGACTTTACAAACATACATGAAACGGACACAAAGAACACCCAGACTCAGAACAACAATTTGTGGATCACACAAAGTGTCGTCCCATGTGCGGTTTGAACCCACAACACTCGGCGCAGTAGGAAGCGGCGTGGCGACCACTTAAACCACTACGCCATCCGTGCAGTCCTTATTATTATTATTATAAGTACTTCGTTATATTTCACTTTTACAGGATGGCACAGTCCACGTGATCTGGGCACACGGTGACGATAAGTTGTTCTCATCAAAAGGGTTGTGTCCGTCTTGCACACCACCACGAGACCATGGTTTTATAAGAGTTCGGTTATTCACACCCCTAGGTAGCCCCAAAGTCGATAATGCTTATAAGCTGAAAGTAACGAACAATAATCTTAAGGTACCTAAGGATGACACAACTTATTGGTGCAAAGTTGTTAAACTACCTGATTTTGTTACGAAGAAAACTCACCACATTATACAGGTATAATAATATTATATTGTACTTATGCTAAGACTGATTATTAATATTATGATATGATAAAGCGTCTTGAGATTCTTAGGTCAAAATACATTTAAAGGTAAAAAAATATGATGATATGTACATATTAAGAAATTACTTACTTTTACTTTTTATAAATATTTTTTATCATATACCACACTACTATGGCAAGTGATCCTGACTCAGGTCTGACTGAGGTCGTGGGTTTCATTCCCACCCAGGACAAATAATTATGTGATGAGCACGATAGTTTGTTCTGTATATTGCTACAATTTATCTATAACATGTATGTAAGTATTCAGAAATATATAAGTATGGTTTGCAGCAATTCGATTACCGTAGTAGAAGCTCTGCCTAGTTTTGGGATCTAATAGACGTGTGTAGAATATGTGAGGATAGGTATTATTAATAAAAGAAACGCAGTACAGTTCTTGGTAATATACTCCAAGTACAGCATTGTTTGAGTACCTACTGCTATTTTTCAGTTTGAATCAACTATTACCCGAGGTAATGAAGGTTTGGTACATCATATGGAAGTCTTCTATTGTGACTCGGATCCTCACAAAGATATTCCTTTGTACGAAGGCAACTGTTTCGCCCCAGACAGACCTGAAATCACTAAGAGCTGTTCAAAGGTAAGAAATGTAGATGTAGGAATCAAACGTCAATTCCGTTCAAAAACATTTTTTCCATAATAGATTACTAAGAGTTACTCCTTCAGTATAAGTCTTCTAGTAAAGATAATAAATACTATAAATAGTGCTTAGTGGCGCAGATCTTATTAGGTTAGGCCTTATCAAGAAAGTGTACACGGTGCTTAAAAGCCAGACGTAGAAGTATTAAATTTCACTTGGGTGGATTTCCTTTTGGTAATTTAGAGGCTCTGCAGTTTAAAAGACTAAAATTATCACACAATTTTGGCACTTATTTAATTAAATATATATTTTCCAACGTTACGTAGAAATAATTGTTTAATTATTTATGTGTGTTCTTTTAAATTCGTGGTAGACACGTATACGATATCAATCTCATCGTAAGATTATTATATTTTATTCGTTTACTTTTGTACGACGAATGCTTTTAGGTAAAAGCAGCATGGGCGATGGGTGCACCTCCGTTTATATATCCGAAAGAGGCTGGATTACCCCTAGGAGGACCTAATACCAATAAATATGTGATGCTTGAAGTACACTACAATAATCCTGAAGTAAAGAGCGGTATGTGTTTTCCCTTGGTGGAGAATGGACATCTATAGACATCTTTGAAGCTTAGCTGATTATTATAATTGCAATGGCGTGATTAAATATAATCGGAAGATGGAGCGTGGGTAGGCCCAAGGCGGTCCGACCAGCTGGTGAAGATCGCCGGAAGCCGTTGGATATGGGCAGTACAGGGTCGGTTGTTGTGCCGAACCTTGGGGGACACCTATGTCCAGTAGTGGCCATCTTTCGGCTGAGACGATGATGATGAATGGTGTGATTAAATAAATATGTGTTTACAAGGCGCAAACTTTCATCTCTTGAGTTAGTAAGTACGATGAACGCACGGCTACATTGTGACGACATTCCACGAGCTGCATTCATATGGCTGCCCGTTTATTCTCTTGGTTGGGTCTCCATGGTTCCATGAGTGTAGGAAAAGAGTTAACAAGCCAAGTGAGACCATTGGAATTGCAAGTGGATTATATGCTTTTTTGTCAACCACTAATTCATAATCACAGCGCCAAAATCATAATATAGTATGATTAGAAGTAATAAATTTGCTAATAAAAAACTTATTGGGTAATAGATAATATAAAGAGAACAAATTTATTAGGGATTTGTATCCATTCACAAAAAAGGCAACCATTATGTATTTGTGAGTTTTTTTAAGTAATTTATCTCAACCGCTGGAGAGAGTTTCTACCCCGGTTCGAAAAAACCGTAGACTAATTAATGTCAGTGAAAGTTTTTTTCTTAATAGTTATTATTAAATGATATTTAATTTATTTCAGACTGGGTAGACAGTTCTGGTATAATTCTGTATTTGACCGGCCATCGGCGCAAGTATGACGCTGCCATCATGGAGCTAGGACTGGAGTACACTGACAAAATGGCCATACCAGGCAGACAGAAGGCTTTTCCTCTAACGGGCTATTGTATCCCACAGTGTACGGGAGTGGTACGAGCATTGTGTTACTAATAATATTTATAGTAAAAAATAATAATAATATTTTCGGACAGCTGACACACAACGCCATCTAGTTTCAAACTAAGCAGAGTTTGTACTATGAATGCTAGATTGACTGATACAATACTTATTCCTTTTTTTGTAAATATATACACATAATACATAGAAAACCCCCGAACTCCGACCCTGGAATCGAACCCGAAACTTCTTCACGTCGCATACGCTACCACTGCACCATCGAGGCAGTAAAATAAATATAACCTATAAGCTCGTTGTTACCTACACATTAACGCAATTATTGCATATTTTCTTAAATATAGTATTAAATATAGTACATACAATTTTTTTGTTTATAGGGTTTACCAACCGACGGTATCGTGGTATTCGGCAGTCAACTACACACTCATTTGACTGGTATAGCAGTGTGGACGAGGCACTCGAGACAGGGCGTGGAGCTGCCCTATCTCAACAAAGACATGCATTATTCGACCCATTTCCAAGAAATAAGAATATTACATAAACCCGTGAAAGTTTTACCCGTAAGTATTTCATTTAACTGATGTATGAGCATACAATGACTACATATAAGTACGTATTCTTATAATCACTGCATTTTGGGCTAAGATTGAATGAACGGTACGTCAAAAAACTGAGTCAACGAGCATTATGATTTTCATAAATAAAAATTAAGCGTAAAAAACAAAAATTACGGCATTTTTATTTTACCAGTATGAAATACACGCCGCCTGTAAATATATGAAGTTTCTCATCCTTGGATTTTTGCAGTCAAAGTACATTAAAACGACTACAGATAGTTGTATACTTAGAACAGCAGCAGTCCCACAGGCGATAAACAGCTTGAGTAGTAGGTACTCACTTTACTTCTGCCATTTTAAGGGAGACTACCTGGAGACTACTTGCGTGTACAATACTGAAGATAAGGATAATGCAACGGTAGGCGGACACGCCATCACGGACGAGATGTGTGTCAACTACATGCATTATTATCCCGCTACTAATCTGGAGGTTTGCAAGAGCGCTGTGTCTAACGCCGCACTTGAAAATTACTTCAAGTTTGAACAACGGTGAGATCCAATCACTTAAAAGTTTTACTAGTCGGATCAACAATAACAATCGCCAACAACAATAAGAATTCATCATCATCATCAACAGCCTTTAATAGTCCACTGCTGGACATAAGCCTCTCCTTAGAAAGGAGGTTTTGGCCTACTATACCACGCTGGCCAGACGGGTTGGTATAGGGTTTGTGTCAAGTTTTCCTTCTCTCTGCAGTGCTGTAGTTCTGCGTAGTTTTCGCCCTTAGTCGTCTCTTACGACACCCACGGGATGAATAGGGGTGGTGACACAATAAGAATTACCAACCGATAAATATCAATAAGATGGTTTTCGATTGGCAATTAAAGCTAATTTTATGCGATGTTACTAATGATCTTTAGAAAAAAAGAATTGGAGATAAACAGTAAAAACAGAACGAACACATTTTTTACTGTTTTTAAATATTTTTAGGAATGGTTCCAAACTAAAAAATAATGGAACATGCAATCAACATGACTACAAAAGCAATATCACATATTACGACACTCTTTTTCAGATGGGATAACATGTCTATTGAGTACCAGGCATCTCCTCGTAACAACTACTTGGCAATTAAACCTTGGACTTACCTCAGGGCCAACACGCTGTACGAACTTTATACCGAGTCCCCAATATCTATGCAGTGCAATAAATCTGATGGAAGTCGATTTCAGGTAATAATTAATATGTATAATGTATGCATGATATGGAGTCACGTGCTTTTACTGTAGACCTACCAAGTTTAAAAAAGCATACCTACAGGAGTTTCCGCTTGAAAATGCTGCTGCTGAAACTGTGTGAAGAGAGTATATATAGGTACCTAGATATTTAATATTGTAATCGATTACGATCATCGATTTTAAACCACTGCCACTGGTGGTACTTTAATTGAGTGAGTCCAATTCGTATTTGACATTATTATTTTTTTTTGTTTTCAGGGTGATTGGGAAGGCATTCAAATACCGATAATAAAGTTACCGTTGCCTGTTGAACAGAGATTTTGTCCGGATATACAAACGGTTTATGACAGTCCTTAGAAATAAATAAATAAACTTTCTTCAAATATACTACTTTAGGTTAAAGATGTAACATAGTGACCCATTTTATTAAAGTCACCTACATTATAATTTATGTGAATTACAAACTACTTGTCTTAATGACCCCTAAGTACTTATATAGAGGTAGGTTCCCTTTTATTGTGATATTTATAAAATAAGTCTACCTACTGTAATTTTATCTCTACTACGATGTTATTGGCATTTGATGTTTATTAGACAAAGTTTAATATTTATGTTAGATATAAATGTATAATAAATAAACGAGTGACACTATGCAATATATTAATAAACGTATACCCTACGTTTATTAAGGACAGTAGAATTTATTGGATTAAAAATACTTATATTACCTAAGTACTAAAATTTCGTATTATTTACAATTTTTTTCATTCAATCAATTCACCTTTCATTCAATTCCGATATCTAAGCTTATTAACCAAAGACACAACCTAGGGGCAGGGTGAGACACATAATATGCCCCACCATGGATGTAGTCATCGGCAATCCATTCTTTTGTACTACCGAAATTTGAAAACATAAAAACCACGAAATAAAATTCGCTGGCGTACGAACGCTCGGGAAACTTTAGTGTAGATTGCTCTTAATATTAATATGTAAAAACTACCTAAAAGAATGCCTGTGTACGTCCATGGCACTGACATGATTTTGTAAAAGTATCATCTGATCAAAATGTGTGACCCGTCTGTAATTCAAATATTGCACACGGTATTTAAATTATTACATTAATTGTAGTAATTTAAATACATATAAATATAATTTAAACACGGATTTGAACCGAAGGTATTTGGAATTTGTATTTCAATTAATTACCTACGGTATACTCCTAAATATGTGTAACCAACCAAACCAATTTCGAGGTTTATACTATAAAAGTATACCTACTCTATCCAATAAAAATAGATTTATCAAAATCCGACTACTCTGTAAAAAGTTATGCGTGGTCATACATTACAATCAGTGAGTGAACAATCAATCATCCCCTCTTTTCCTACCCTTTCCAATATATTTTTTTTGTCAAAATCGGAACACTGTGTGTTGTGGGTTCAAACCCCACATGGGACGACACTTTGTGTGATCCACAAATTGTTGTTCTGAGTCTGGGTGTTCTTTGTGTCCGTTTCATGTATGTTTGTAAAGTCCCCCGCGACACAGGATTTATTCCTAATGCGGGCGTTGTCTTTTTTGAAACATACATAAAAAAAACATATATACGGTCGACTTGAGAACCTCCTGCGTCTTTTAGTCGGTTAATAAATTATAATCCTTGATTGGTAGTGAAATAGACAGATCAATGCATCCTTCATTGTTACTTTGACATTTGATTTATCATGAAGAAACTGAGTATTTATGGCGAAGAGAAAAGAGAGAGAAACTTATCATAAATGTGCTTATTTTTGACAGATTTTGGCTTTCTGTCTTTACAAAGACTGTTACCTATTTTATACAACACAGTTTTCAAAACAATTATCTAACTATTATTGTAGTATTTTATGTATTTTAAGTAATGTTACAGACTTTCATACATCATACATTTTTCCACTATATTATTTATATGTAAAGGAAAAAGCTCCGCTTATATAACCCTAAACGACCCCTAAACCCGACGCTGCAAAGACCAAGGACCTCCCTTGTATGAACTATACAGTAAGGAGCATGGTCCATGGTAGTAATGGAGCACGTTAAATATGGGTTTAAACGATAAATAAATAATAATCTATACCCTAAAATGAAAAATGGCCAGCCTTTTAGTAGTTGCATATGATATGTAACATCTCACAACTCACCTACCATCTGATGACTAATTCGAACACAATGTGTCATTGGTCCAAAGAAATTGCATTTCCGTGCTCATGTAACATACTTCTGTTTCTATTCACGAATTCACCCTTACAGATTGAAGACAGCGAGAGGAAAGGTTTTGCCCAGAGATGTAGAAGAATTGGATATTAATATTTTTTGAAGTAGGTAGTTACTCGACTTGATTTTTTCTAAACTAAAGTACTTGTTACTTTCTATTGAATTAACAATAAATAATAACTCAAGCACAGAGACATTGGTAAATTTCTACTTTGTAGTAGTATTTAATTAAGCTGTCACAAATGGACGAGAGCTAAGAATAATCATCACCAGCCCATTGCAGTCCACTGTTGGACATAGGCTCATCCCAATGCACGCTACTTGATCAATTTTCGGCTTCTCGCATCCAACTCCTGTCAGCCAACTTGCGCAAATCGTCACTCCACCTGGCCAGTGGGTGTCCTTCACAACGTTTGCCAAGACGCTGTCGCCTAGTTTACAACGATTGTCAGTTCTGTGACTAATTTGGCAGAGCTAAGAATACTAATTGGATATTTTCAAATACTTTAACTCAACAACTCGAGTATTTGGATACTTGAGCTAAAGTATTCAAATCGATACAGTCGGCTGTTCTGCACACCACTAGTGTAGATAATTCATTCCATTATTACGATTACATTACAAGTCACTTTGACATTTCAGTTTTCACACTACTACAATTACACTACGCCGTACAGTGACATTTTGTTTTTCTTCCTTCTTGCGAAGTTTTACTTATTTTATTTCTTTTGTGAAAAGTATTTTTACTGTAATCATGTCCAATGATTACGGATTCAACAGTGATGATTCCCCAAATAAAACAAATTCTCACCTTCAATTACCAAGCCCGATAATAACACGACGAAACCGGACTGCCTCTACGTAAGTTTTAGATTTACAGTATTTATTTAAACCAATGTACAACATAGTTAGAATTTTACTACTACATATATATATATTATATAATATTGTTAAAGGTCTGAAAGAGCATTAGGTAACCCGTTAGAAAGTGGCAAAATTAAATCTTTCTGTCGAGAAAGGGGACACGGCTTCATTTCTCCCGAAAAAGGCGGCGAGGATATTTTCGTTCATATTTCTGAGTAAGTATATTTTATATCACGTTTGTAGTTTAAAGACTCATTTCAGATTTATCATAATTTGGTTTGTTGCTAAAATAACAATGACATATTCCAAGACACTTTTTTATAACTAGGTGGTCGAATTGTCTTTGTTTTCCAAGGTTCTGTAAAAAAATCAAAGTAAACTAGTTTAACATAGTTTTGCTTCCTTATAAATTTTGGGTGATTAATGATGTTTTGCCACAGAAAATCAACATATAACTCAGTCAAGGAAATTAAAATTGACCAACAGTCAAGTCAATTTACAGTAGACTGGCTTGTCATTAAAAGTATTGTTCCAATTTGAGTGTAACTGATAATGTATGTTTACTTGATGCTGTTTACTTTATTACAGTTTTGGAGGTCATATGTTTTATATTTGTTCATAACACATGTTTTAGCTTCCTGTACAACTTTTGATATTAAAGTTCAATAAATACATTTGTATTTTTTTAATATAAAGATTGTGTTCATGTCTTTCAAGTTCTTTTTGTTATTTTTAAATTAATTTCTATAGTGTTAATAACTTTTTTTAAATGTTATTAGTAGCATGATTTGTAAATATACTCTTTATTATTCTTTTAATCTGTCTTAAAGTAATACCACAGCCAAAACAATGCTACCATCATGAAAGAATAAGTATATTTATTATCACACAAGTAATTTTAAATAACTACATTTACTCCAATACCGTCACCATCATAAATTAACAAATTATGTATGTGAACTATTGAAAGGTTTTTAATTTATTTATAATCGTAAATGTCTCTTACATTTACTGATATAATGCATTAATATTTACTTCTCAGGTATAAGTGTTTTTTCATCGAAAGTGAATGATATTATACCTAATGAATAGATTTAATTTTTATAATTTAGTTTATGGTTTAATAAAATCAATTACTTTAAACTTTAGTGACAGTTTATCATTAAACAATTGCATTGCCTAAAGAAAGTCAGTTTAATATACATATCTGCCTCTGTGGTGCAGTGGTAAGATATGTGACTGCTGTGCCGAGGTCTCGGTTCTGATTCCCGGGTCAGACCAAATGTTTGTATGATCTGCAAATATTTGTTTCGGGTTTGGGTGTTTTCTATGTATAATATGTATGTATTTACAAAAAAAGTATTTCATCATCATCAACAGCCCTTAACAGTCCACTGCTGGACATACACCTCTCCTTACAATGGAGGTTTTGGCCTACTATACCACACTGTACAGAGGGGGTGGTATAGGGTTTGTGTTAAGTTTTCTTTCTCTCTGCAGTGCTATTGTTCTGCATAGTTTTTTTCCTTTAATCGGCTTTTACTACACCCATGGGATGAATAGGAGTAGTGACACTGTATTCTTAATTTTTTTTATATAATATAAAAAGTATATAAGTATTCTATATCAGTCATTCTAGCTTTCATAGTACAAGCGCTGCTTAGTTTGAAACTAGATGGCGCTATGTGTCAGATGTCTGAAAATATTATCATTATTATTATAAGAATTGATGCAATGTGTAAATTATGCACTCAAAAACTAGACAGTTAAAAAATCTAACAATTATTTTTAATTTTAATTTAACGATATTGGAATAAGCATGTGGTATTTTAGATAGCAAGTGTTATACCATCATTAGTGTGTTCACAGAACAGGCCAATTGACTACTATATTCATGCTTATAATCATTTAAAGCTGTCAACATAAATATACAATACCTATTGTGTGTGTCTGTCAGTGTCATATACAGGGTGTCCCAGAAATAATGGATAATCCTGGAGCGCTTAATAGTACAGCTATCTGGCGTACAAAAAAAATACCCAAAAAAAACCAATTGGTGCTCAAATTATGAAGTTTTTAAATAAAATACTTTTTTGTTGTCCTTACTGGCAGACAATTCGAACACCTTTTATAAAAAAGATAAAAAATAAAGATGAATTTATCTACAACTTAAAGCTTTTTATTATTACAATTTAAGACAAGATTTATTCAGTCGAATTTACTATTTTTGCATCTAAATAACAATTACTGCTTATTTACGTTAAATAAAATTATGTATTATACCATTTTGTAAACTGCATTAACTGCACATTTTTTTTAAATAGTTGAGCCCTTAGGTTTTCATACATTTTTTTTTCACAAAAGGCTCTCAAACTTCGTCATAATTATTTTTTTTGATCACATTTCATGTTAAAAATTTAAGTTGATATTTTTTTCCAAAAAAGTACAATAGTTACTCATACTATTTACTGCATTTCTAATAAGATTGTCTGTGAGGAATAAGATAACGCCAAAAACTTCATTAATTTGCGGCCGTGGTGTACATGTAAGTACAGTAAGGACAACAAAAAAGTTTTTTTTTTTAAACTGCGTAATTTGGGCACCAATTGTTTTTTTTTTTGGGTATTTTTTTTGTACGCCAGATAGCTGTACTATTAAGCGCACCAAGATTATCCATTCTTTCTGGGACACCCTGTATATGTTGAAAATATGAATTCTATTTTAATTTTTATTTGACTCATACTTATATGACAATGGCATTCACAAGGTTAATAACCGTAACAGAGATATAAGTATGGCAACATTTTATTGCTATAGGTATGCATTGATCATCATTCACACTTTATTATCGAAACTCAATTTACTGTAATTGTTCACAGTATTGAGGGTGAGTATGTGCCGCTACCGGGAGACGAAGTTATATACCGGCTGTGCCCCATACCACCAAAGTTTGAGAAGTTCCAAGCTGTCAATGTGCGTATTGTTCACCTTACACCAGAGAAGCATTTGAAGTGGGATGAGCCCCAATGTAATTAAATCCCTCCATCATATCTACCACTGTCACTTGACTTCACTGTCTCCACCCTATATAAGGTCAACTTAATGTCCCTCTTTTCACGTCATATCTTAAAATGAGTCTATCAATGTGTGTTATGAACTTATCACTATTGTATTTAATTTATAGGAGATATTCTAAAAGGAATCCTTGCTTCGCATTTGTTCATTATACAGCTAAGGACAACAATACTTTAATACGCAAATAACTCAAATTCATCTTTTGTAATTATAAACATAATTCTAAACAATGCAGCAGCATTTTAATAAAAAAGTGTAAAGTATTGTAAATTGACAAAAATAATGGCTCATCAACAGCCACTAGTCCACTGCTGGACATAGGCCTCTCCTTAGAAAGGAGGTTTTGGCCTACTATACCACGCTGGCCAGACGGATTGGTATAGGGTTTGTTTCAAGTTTTCCTTCTCTTTGCAGTGCTGTTGTCCTAATTAGTTTGCTCCCTTAGTCGGCTCTTACGACACCCACGGGATGAATTGGGGTGGTGGCAATTTGTATTCTTAATCCGTCACCACAAGGCTATAATGGCTAATGATATTATATGATAATTATGTTTTAAATTTATTTGATTAATAATAAAATCAGAAAAGAAGTATCCTAACAAATTTAAGTTTTACATGTACTGTATCTCTTTTGGTGTAAAGCAAGGACTCTGTCACATGTGCATGTATAAATAATTTCGCCAGAATCGAATGCAAACTTCATCAGAATCGAACACAACTTTGTCAATTTGTACATTTTTATGAGTGTTCTAAGTGATTTTGTTTTTATTGGCCTAAATTATCACTCATTTATGTATGAATTTATATCATGACTTTGAGAAGACCAAGGTTGTTACATTGGCATGTGTATGATTAATTGCAATCTCAGTATTTTAAATATAGTGAGAAGCCAATTTGTGGTGCTAAATTTTGGAAGGTTTTACCATCGTCTTAACATTTTTATATCAGTTGTATTTCACACAGAGAATGGAAAATGGCTTCTTACAACAGTATTGAACAAAACATTTTATAATGTTAGTGAATGTGTTGACCTGAGTTTTGCATTTCAGATATTGTTCTGTATTTAATTGTTGTGTATGAAATGTAAGGCAAAGATTTAATTGTTGTAGGTTATAATAATTTTGCACAAATATAAAGTGCCACTTATTGTGATCAAAGGTGTGTTAGTAGGTGTTGTGTTGATAGCCAAATGCATAATTATTTCATGATATTTTCCTTAGTTATCCTTGAATCTATGTGTTTAAGTACAAATACAATCTGTGTTTATGAAACAGCATTCCACTGCTCAGTTCCGTTTATACATGTATAACAATTATTTGTTAATTAATAAAATATTCTATTTTGATACTGTAATGTCCCCAAGTTCTTTTAAGAAGTGTATTAATAAATAGTAATCAATGCGACACGATGCTTGTTTGTTTAGTTTATTAGTTTTATTACAGCTAATATAATATGGATATGTGTAAGCAATATTTGTTTTATTATCCTCAGCCCAAAAAGCTTTTATTGAGATGTAAAAACTTTGGTTAATACATGGGTAAGTGTGGTTTGGAAGAATCGATGACGTGCAAGCCCTGTATCATATTATTTAGTTCCTACGAAAGCACGAATGGCTACTGGTTTAAGCGGTCGCCACACCGCTCACTACTACGCTGAGTGTTGTGGGACGATCTCCACATGGGACGACACTTTGTGTGATCCAGAAATTGTTGTTCTGAGTCTGGGTGCTCTTTGTGTCCGTTTCATTTATGTTTGTAGTCCTCCGCGACACAGGATGTATTCCTAACGGGAGTTGTCTTTTTAAAAGAAGAAGTTAGTTCCGTTGTCCGATCTGTCATCTGTAATTTATTGTCTTATCTTTATTATTAATATATTGTAGAGCTTATTTCTAACGTTTATCTTTATCTCGGTTATATGAGTCCAATTTGAAAGATAGATACATAGTTCGTTTATTAAGAAAGGACTTCAAAAATTATCGTATTAAAACTGTCAGGTCCGGTTAGTAAATTGTGTTACTGACGCTGGCAGGGCCACTATCATGCATTTTAATTTTGATAATACGAAAATTTAGTCGCTAATTTGTCGTCAAATATCAGAATTTGTCGGTCATTGATTCAAAGTTTATAGTGGGTCCTGCTGGAGTCAGTCTCCCCAGCAGGGCCAGTGTGCGTTGCCCCAGCAGTTGTATGACGTGTATAATTGTGTGTCTAAATGAAATTGGTGCGTCAATAAACTGCGAAGATATTCAAGTTTCCGCTGCAACAACGTTTGGCCATTTACTAGATTTCATATAAAACGCTTTTATAGAGAGCTGTAGATTGGTGGAGAGGGTTAAAGGAGGCCTACACCAAATATTTGGTCGATTAGGGCTAAAGAAGAAGAAGAAGAAGATTTTTTCATAGGTTGTTTGAATTTGCTCATACTGATTTTAAAAAACCATACCATTCAGAAGATATAAACGTAAAATAGGGTTATTAGGCTCTAGTGCTTACCCAATAGGTTCTAGTTTATAACGTTTACACATACCTTGTAAGCATCTACAACGTCTTGCTAAGTATCATTGATGCACTCTTAGTAATTAATGAGCTATGGCATAATTTTGACTGGACCACAGTTTCATATGCAGTCTTATTGCACGAGATTCTAAAGGAAATGCGTTACAAAACCTACTCCAATAATTAGTGCATTAATTCAACTATTCACATGTAAAATTTCATTTCTTTACACAATAATTAACGAAATTCAATTAAAATACTGACAATCACCGCATTTGGTCCATAACCCGACTAAGTTCCACAATGGCTACGAAAAAGCGGCCGTGCAGTACATTTAGGTAACATTCTAAAATTTACAGTATAATACCGGTAACATTCTAAAATTTACACTATCAAAATTGGTCAGTGACACAAGTAATTTCTACTGGCAGATTTCAGTTAGCTAATATCGTACATTTTTAACCAAGCGACAACAGGTAGTCACAGAAAACCTGTCGAAACATACGCAGTGGACTGCTCTACTGTCTCTGCGGTTCCAGGCTTTACTAAATTGTTCTTTAAAGAATATAAGTACTCCGTACTCTTCTAAATGTAAGTAGCGAAGTCTGCATCTATTTAGTCGTGCTATGTACGTGTCTGAACAATAAAGAACTCTACTGACGTCAGTCATATAAAAATATGACTCTTGGTTTTCATACAAACTAACGCATTACGTTGCCTAGTTTAATGTGTTAAAAGTATTTTTGTGTAATTTCATTTCGGATGGCCCTGAAATGGATGCATATTGGTCATCACACATCAATTATATATAGGTAACAAATCTGGCTAATACAATTACGTGTTAATTAGTACAAGATTCATTAGTAATCATTAGCTTACTAAGGATGTATTCGTGAGTTTTGGCTCACTTCGAGTTATCTTTTTATTTTATTTTTTACACAGGTATTCTACTAATAATCTTGTATATATATATAACCGATTGTGTTAATGATAGTGTAACATTTGAATAATTTTACCGACGGCGGTCATATACACACAAAATTATTGTATTATGTATTTGTTTTGGCGAGACGATGACTCATAACTTGACTGCCGTATCATCCATTGTGCGTCTTACGGGAGTGGTATAATTAGACATAATTGACATTAATAAAGAATATGGGATAGTAAAAATATATTCGACAAGGGTATATTTTATTAGTAGGTAAATAATATATTCAATACAATAAATAATATAAATTCCCGCGACAGCCATTATTAATCGATTCAAAAGAATATAAATCAATTAGGTACACTTAAAAATTACTATTTGCCTTATCACACAATTTATTCTACACACACAATCTATGGGAATGTGTTTATGACACGTTGGGGTTGCATCTCAATTAGAAGCACGATTCGATCAAATGTTCTGTGAAACTGGCAATCTGTTGAAGATTGAGAAACAGGTTTCGTTCATAAAACCTGTTTCGTTCTAAAATAAGATATGTTGACAATGCAAACGCGTTCATTATTAATAGTATTGAGAGTGCGTGCGTTTAAATTAGATCCAACCCTTCATCAAACTACTATGTCATATACACATGTGTAAATAATCAAATAATATATCTATACATAAAGGTACATAGACGATTCACAGTTCTTACCTTAGTCTCTTTGCTTAAAGCTTATAGTCTCGTAACCATGCGTACTCAATTGTCGTAGGGTTCAGACCAGTTTATAGGCGTGTCAAGCCTGCAATGTGGAGGCTCCCTAAAGTCCACATTCATACGTATACACATAATCTACCAGCGCCGGCCCTTTATATGGGTAGAACAAGATTGTCTGCAACCTTTTTTCACTTCTCATATATTTTATTTCAGTTTTATGTGAAATAAATTTAATTTGTAAACCTTACTTTTATTGGAACTCTTGGATTAATTAAGTAGGCCTAATGAGGTTCGTAGTTTTTGTGTCCATTTTAATCACCTATGTAATATTAGTCAAAGTCATATATCCAATAATATAATCTGTTAATTATTTAGGAAGTTACAGTTATAACTTAATTAATGGTCAGCCACGCACCTTAATAGCGTCTCTTAATAGCTGCCATCAAAGTTTTATTTCCCTCCGGCGATTATTTTGTCATTTGGCACCCCTTGCCTATCCCACCTACTCGCTCTACCCTAGGGCCGGCACTATAACCTACTGCTACATTACATTTACTGCACACTGTCCATTTAATTATACATCGCTATCGACCATAACACCTCAGTCTGTTAACCGCTGAAACATTACTTATTTATAATGCGTTGTTAGTTCAAGGTTATGTCGGCATTGTGAGCCAGTCGCAGGTTGAATGGACCAGAATACATCAATTTTCTTTTGTTTCTAACTAACTACAATGAATACCTGTTTCACCACTGCGAACTATAATGATGTTGTCTCTTTCTAAGTAAAGGAAATAGAGGAAGAAATGAAATATACTTGTAAGACATCCACGGTGAAACAAGCTCTAGTAATGTCTAGTAAAGGACACACACTTATACTAGTTACTACGTAGCGTTACAAGAGCGTTTTCTATTATTAATAGCTTAGAATAGTGGTGAGCTAAACTAAAATTAGGTTATACCCTACTTGGTTATTGGAATATACTACATGTTTTTATTAGTTCTCTATTTCTTTTGTCTGTTCACGTAGGAAGATATTAATATATAATCTGAGCAAGGTAAAGCAATACACTTAAAAAACTCGTTGTATATTGTATAAAAATGCTAAAACAAAAGTCTCACAACAATGTAATAAACAGAACAAAGCTTGCTTACAGTGTTTAGTGGTCGTATCAATGATATTATTTCACATTTCAGTTGATATTCTTCATACTTGATCAATCTTTTCCGTTTTCTACATTTCCATTCTGCAACAAAAAATAAAGCTTAGGTACTCTATAACTTCCTCTTTTGAGTTTGTGACAGTAGAAGTATAATATTAAATTTGGGGATAAAACCAGCGATGTAATATACTGCAAGACTTACAAGATCAACTCAAAAAAGGCACTTGAAAGTGTGGGATGAATTATATATACGATTGCGAAAAAAATAGCTCATGCAATGTAATTAATTCCTTATATATATTTTTGTTATAAATAGGTATCATCAAATCCTATTCATGATATTGGAAGCAATTGTTTACTGCATTATTTGAACTACACTAGAGTCGTCTCATACAAACAAGAGGATAAAATCTTTATGTTGACATGTTAACTTTAAAGTTTACGTTAAAAATATTAATCCACGACTACAATGTAATAAGTGAGTTGCCTACTCTTAAAATACAATATTTAACCGTCCTCATGTAATTGAGTGTTATTTAAAGGTGTTTTTTTTTAATTTTAAAATCAAATAAAATCTTTTTGAAGATATAAATTAGTGACGTCACAGGTCGGTACTATATACAGGTTCCTTCAAAACCTACTGATGATGTTTATTAATAAGAGACTATTTGCCTGATGAACAAGTTCAGTATTGTTTAAGGTTAGAAAAGTTAGCATTATTAGTATTAAGAAAAGAAAATGTACGCATAAATGCTTCTTGAAAGTACCTCTTCTTGCTGTGCGAGCTGGTAGTGTCTCTTGCGCAGCGCCGCGAGACGCGCGCGCTCGGCGTCCAGCGCCGTCTCCAGCTTCAGCGACCGAACCTTGCTCTCCATCTCCAGCCGCCGCGTGGCCGTCAGCGACAGAGACGACGTGTCCAGCGAATCTGTCGAACCACCTCATCGTTTAGTATGTGCCGGAAAACGAAATAGTAACACGATATATTGCAGTGTAATACAGAAAACAAACGGAGTATATGTACTGCACGTAAAGGGTATCTATATTTATAGAAAATTTATTTAATCAGTATAAAAATCTACTTAATACATTATTTAACATGTAAATATTCTTCAATTAAATGTGTATCAGTAAAGAGCGATGCGTAATTTAAAGTACAATTTCGCAGTACCTTTTAAAGGATGTTTATTAAAGTCGTAGTTCGGAAATAATCCAAACGTATGGGCAGTAACGCTAAACGTTTGCTAGTTGCGTTACGGCGAATCGTGGTTGTCGTAACCGAAAAGAATGACTAACAAGGGAGCTCGTGGTGCAAGACTCACCTTGCTCGAGCACGAGGGCGGAGCCCGCCTTGACGGCGGCGACGAGCGCGCCGGTGGCGGCGGCGACGTGGCGCGACGCCTGCGTGAGGCGCGCCAGCGCGGGCGACTCGGGCGGGGCGCGCGCGCGCGACGCCGCCACGAGCTGCGCCGTGCTGCCCGCCACCTCGTGCGCCGCCGCGGACACTCCCTCCACCTGACCCGACGCGCCCACGGCTTCGTCCGCCGATGTACTGACATAAAAAGACTCTTTTAAAACTGACTTAAAAAAGTATAAGACTCGTTTCCGTTGTTTTTTCAATGTCAAGAACTCTACCTTTTATGAACTGGTTTAGAAAACTCTTTTTTAATTCGGAAAGGTATTCTTCCTGTATAGTCCCATAGAAAAATGACAACCCTTAAGACTTGAAAATTACTATGCACTTTCATATAAAATACGCAAACGACGACAATTAGGCTGGCTAGATTACTGGGTCGTAATTACATACTTGAACTTGAACTGACTATATGGGAAGTCCGAGAGTTCTTAAATTTAACTAACCTTTTCATATTATACTACAGATTGTGAGAGATGGCTTATTTTAACAATATCTAAAAAATAATTATTCCGATTCACGCGCTTTTATATATATGTTTTCATAAGGTCAAAACGAAGAACACTTTTTGCAGTAATTATTCAATAGTTTTTACGTGTTATGGACTTTATAAATTCTCTCAAACACAATACGCGCCTGTCGGTTTAGTTACAATTTAGTACTTCTATAGTCATCTAACAATCCTTCTGTCAAAACCACACTATTAATGCTACAGTTATTTCAGAAATTTTAACAGCTCGATTCAAGAACGAAACAAATATTGTTTAATAATAATTTTGGAATCGGATTACAAAAAATCGATTCAGAATTTCTAACAAATACTGTTATTACTAAAGGGAAAGGAAATGCTATTCGACTTACACAAGTAACTTCGCAGCAAAAACAACCGCTTTGGCCGCCGATATCAATCCTTCTGACCACTGAGGATTCTTCCTGTACATTTTTTGCCTTGTTTTAGGATCGCCGAGCTCGTTCTGCAATTTGCGGGCATCTTGTACAAGTATTTTCACTGCACCCATTAGTGTTGTGCACGCGTCCAAGATTTTGCCGTTCACTTCGAGTTTTACACCAGAGTCGCCCGCTCGAGTGGCTGCTAGCATGCTCTATAAATAAAAAATAATAACAATAAAACAGTTGTTATGTTATTAAGTTCAAAAATAATATTTTTTTGTTAAAAATATAGACAAAAGAAGTATAATTTATTTATTCCATATACCGGGTTTATCATAAACGATAAAAGAAATTTATTTCTGTAAGTAAATCTTTTTAGACATTTTTACAAGTCAGACTTTACAGCTAGAAGGCGCCGGCATTTCATCACACTTACTCTGGGAAGAAACGCGGCAACAAACCATAGAAGTGTCTTTTTTGGCGTGAACAATGTTAAAGAAAACTATGCGAGTGCAGTCAAGGGTCTGGGTTGGCCTTTTCAAGAAAGGACCATAGTTGAGTCGCCTTGTCCATACAGACTTCATGCGGGACGTTAGCCATCGTGTAGTCTAACCGATGTCACAAAAATATATCACATAATACATATCACTCCGTAACCTCATTTAATCACGCTGCACAAAACCTGTCCATATGTAGAGTGGACTGCTCGGTGCTCTTATTCTATTTAAAAAGAAAACTAGTTTTCTTATAATATTAAACATGCTACCACAGTTGATCACCCCACAAACGTGTAAGTTATTAAAGTTTTAAATATAAATAGGTAAATATGTAGACACTAAAACACACTGCTGTTGTTTAGAATATTTTTGTCGACTTTATTTAGAAAATCGTGATTTGGAGTATACTGTAAAGTATAACAATGACAGGTGAAAAGTGCTTACCTCAATCTGTGAGGCAGCCTCCTCAATAGCCCGATCCATGTCGGCAAGTTCATCATCCACGCTCCTCGCCCCAATGTTCTGTCTGTCGGCCGCAGCCGCTGATGTCATCATCGATCGAACTAAACTCTGCGCGTTAGAGCACTTCGAGCTGACTAGTGACCCCATCTTGATTGAGTCTAAGCATTCTTTGGTAGCACTTAACATTGAACGGCATTCGTTGTGTAATTCTGTTAGAAAAGTATACTTAATATTAAGTATGATAATCTAGTTTGGATGTGGGCAACAAAGGATTATTATGCAGACGACAGCGGTTGTTGTGGCGAATCTTGGGGAGGCCCATGTCCAGTGGACGTTTTTCGGCTGAAATGATGATGATGATAACCAGTAAACGGCTTCATAGCCAAAAAAATTCACCATCTCCAAAAATATTGATGGAAATGAATGATAAAAACGAGGAGACCGTATCATCCTACAAGATACTTTAGCAGAATAACAATAGGTAATAACATTATGTTATTTTAAAACTTTCATAAGAAAACCCAAAGAGGTGATATTTTAACATGTAAATATACTTTCCATTACTACACACTCCTCAAACATTTTAAGCGCCTACCTATTAATATCATATAATCTTTAAGCAAAAATACGTTACTTGGACAAGGAGCTTTCCTGTTTAACTTTATGTTATTTGTATAAACCCTTGATTTCATTTTTTTTTTATTTTAATATTTGTTGTTATAGCTGCAATGGAAATTCCGATTCTCTTTTTTAAAGAAAAAAATTAACCGGTTGCTTATTACGGTATGTGAGATCCAGTCGGACAACAGCTTAGTAACAGGAATCCGTTCGCACCCTTTGGGTACTGAAACTTTAAAAAAACATCTAAATATTAATCTTACTATCAGACAACTCTATGTTGGTGGAGATATTAGAGACGTCGACTACGTAGGAGGAGAGCTGTGCAGTGTTGTGAGCTGCTACTATTGCCGACTTCGCAATAGACTCTTCATTTCCCGATACCTACGAAGATACAAAGTTCTTGATTATTATGAGACTTAACATTTTAACTTTAAATGTTTTATCATTATGTAGGAATGTTGTGTTATGTTTGCAACTAAAACCGAAAATATAAATAATACAGACCGAAAATATGAATAATACTGATTAAGTTCTAAGTAGTGGGTTTTTTATTTTGCATATTTTGAAAGAAAATTATTTAGAGATGTTAAAGTCACCACTGCGGGAAGTCAATATTGATCACGTAATACTCACGTCTTTGTGTCTAGCGAGTTGTTCAAGCGCTTTGGCAGCTAACTCAGCTGAGTTTTTGATTGTTTCTTGAGCGTTCGCGTTTTCAAACGCCGTGATTGCTTCGTTTGTAACTTCTAGTGCTACCTCGCCCACACAAGTTACCAAGCGCGATGACTCTGTTCAAAAATGTAAAAAAACAATCATTACTACATTTCTAACTAGTTGTAAATAAACAGATAGCAATGATACACTTTTGTTTTAAAAATCAATCAAATCAGTGTCTTTTACATTATCTACAATGTTTATTTACATTAAGAAACAAACTTTACATGTTATATGATAAAAATATACTAACGCTTCTCCAAAGCTTTCTTCGCGTCTTGCAGCTGTTTCTTGATAGCCGCTAAATCGGCCTCTAGTACTGTATTATGTTGCAACATGTCCTGTAATTCACACTCTGCATTCAATCTCTTACTCTCCACTAGTTCTATTTTACTTTCCAACATCTATACCACCATAGATATAAAGAGGAGTACTCAACGAAAGACGTAAAATCCAAGCGAGTCCAAGCGCGCAGTCCGAAACAATTCCAGCATGCACAGCGTTGCGGAAGGTACGTGGACGCACGAGAGGGAAGGAAACAAAACATGCAATTTAGACATAGTCACATAATACAACATAGCCACTAAATACAACAGACAAAATGTAACAGATTAAAGCTTTTGATACTAAAATAATTTGAGTATTACAGTGAATGGAAACATGAAAACATGAAAGCTTGAATAATAAGAATATTGCAAACCTAACACCATTTTCTAAAGTGACATTTTGTAGGTATATAGAATTAAGGAAACTAACGAAGTTTGTCAATCCTAATATGCAGAATAAAAAATACATGACCGAAATCTTCGGCGACACACAAAACATCAATAAACGCACACTATGACCACCACCAAGTTAATGTTTTGTCACACTAAGCGTGAGTTTCACTCTGAACGTCACTGTGTTCCTAACCTGTTTTCCAATGTCTTTTTCAGATAATATAACTTCCATATCGGTCCTCTCCTTCATTACTAGTGTTTGTAATTTTTCCAACTCTTCTCTCATTTTCTTTAAATTCAAATCAGCCTCAGCGATGGCTTCGTTCTTTTGAGAAAGCTCCTTCTTGTAAAATGATTCTTGATCTCGAATTTTATCATTGAGAGTCTGTTCTTCATTTTCTTTATCCTCTTTTAAATGCTTGTAGTTCATTTTTAATTTTTCCAATTCATTGTTTAGTTCAATCGCTAGCAATTCTTTTTCGTATTTTACTTCGTCGTGACTGGTTTCTAATTCTTTATTAGATTGTTTTACTTCTAAAATTCTACTTTCCAATACCTATTTAAAGACAGAATCCATTAAGGCAATTAATAAAATGATACGACACAAACAAAAATATATTTATAACACAAACCTCTGTCTTAGTATTAAGTTCCTTAGTTAACCTATCGTTTTCAATTTCTAATGCTTCCTTTTTTCTAGTAACATCCTTAATTTCATCATGTAACTTTCTGAGTTCTTGATTTTTTAAAAGCAAATTATCTTCGTTACTTTCAACGAGTGCTTCATGCTCTTCTTTTAAACTAAATAATTCACCGTTGCTTATTTCTAACTCAGCCTTAGTCTCTTCTAACTCATCTTTAAGCCTTGAATTTTCCTCCGAAAGTTTTGTTAAGTTAATATTAAGGGATATAACTTGTTCGTCTTTTTCAGCAATCATACTTTTTAAATTGGCAACCATTTCATCTTTAGACTCTATTACGTTTTGTAACTTATCTTTTAATATTGTATCTTGAACGTTAGATTCTCTTAAACGATTTTCATATTCAGCTTTCTGCTCTTGTAAGTCCGATGCAACTTTATCGAGTTTTACATTAAGATCTGTTATTTCAGCAGTTTTAAGTGCGATGCTTTGTGTAAGTTCAAAGACACGTTTTGACAACGTTTCATTTTCAGACCTTTGTTTTTCAAGAAATTCGTCTTTTTCGGTGATAAGTTCTTTTAAGGCATCAACTTCTTCATTTTTCTCATCAATGAGTTTCTGTGAGTCTTCATGTAGTTCTACAATCTCGAAATTTTTGTCAAGCTCCATGTATTTTAACTTATCTTCTAAATCCCTGATATATTCTAACTTTTCCTTTAAATTCTCTAAAGCCTTTTCTTTTTCTTCGGACTCTATCCTTAGTTGATCTGATACAGCTTTCTTTTCTGTTATTAATTCAGTTTTTAAATCTCCTGACGATTTCTTGTATTCAAGTAATTCATCAACTTGGGCTTGTAGAGTGGACACTTCTATAACCTTAGTTTTCAGTTCTTGCTCTAAACTATTAAGTTTTTCGAATGCTTCTTTCACTGCAGAATCTTTTTCATTAACAATATCATTTATTTCTTCACTTTTTTTCGTTATTTCTTGATTTAACTTTTGCCGCTCAGCCTCGTAATCAAATTCAGATATTTTAATTTTCTGTTGTAAATTATCTAATTCCGATTGCAAATCATTAATGCTCTTGTTCAATCGACTTAGTTCCTAATTAAAAGAAACCTGATATGAAATTTTGTGCGTCTATAAGGAGTAACCTAAACACTTCTGTTTATTTCGTCTTTACAAAATATATAGGATAAATTTACCAATTTAATACATTCTTATTTTTTATTGGATTTTTCTTTTATAAATTGAATTCATTTAAAAAGGGTTAGTCATGCCTATTAACAATTAAAGACAAAACAGACAAGCATGTAAGAGTCAAAAGCATTAATTAATTTTCAATTTATAAGTTCTTGATTGATAGAGATAGAATAATTCTGTTTAGCGTAGAGAATCAACACACATGTTAAGTACATCAATGTCTTTCGTTCGTTGTATTTTCTAAAGACATGCTTGTTCTACATGCAGCAATATTTATAAGGGCAAGCATCTACGCACTATAAAGTAAATATTTACAGTGAAATTTACATTACTGACCTCTTTTTCTTGTGAATGCTGTTGTCTTAATTCAGCTATCTGGCTCAATGCAGCTTCTCTTTCTTGCACTACCTTTTTGTATTCATCACTACTCTTGTCCCTAAGTCCTACCAATTCTTCCTTGACCCTCACTAACTCAGACTCTCGTTCTTCTTTTTCTTGTTTAAGTTTTTCCAAATTCTCTGCCGTTTCTTTTAACTCACTAGTAATTGTTGTAATTTTTTCTTCCTGTTCTTTAGTAGCGGTTTTATGTTCTATTTCTAAAGCTTCCATCGCAGCTCGTACTGTTTCTAATTCAACTTCTTTCTGTCTGGTTTGTTCGATGTCGGCACGAAGATTTGTTATTTGGCTTTTATAGGCTTCTATCTCTTCGCTCGATGAAGCACTTTGTTGTAATAATTCCACATCCCTAAAAAGTAGGAATTAGTAAGATAGATTTAACGAGAGTCGTAAATTCTGATTTAATTTAACATCGAAGGAAACATTTGTTCTGTAAGTTGTAAAATAACTAGACACCACTTACTTCATTCTGTCATTTAATTGTTGTTGTAAAGCAAATTTGGCACTTTCATGTTGCGCGGCCGCCGCTTTCAAGCTTGCAGATAATTTATCTACTTCAGCTTTCTGAAATAATATGTAGTAGATAAAAATTGTTTTAGTAACAAAGTGTTTAAAGGTTGAATCACATATATTCCATCAGATATTACCTTGCTTAGTTTGTGATACACTTTCTTATATCTCACCATGTAATTTACGAAAACAGATAAAAGAAGATGCGTACCTGTCTAATTAGTGCAATGTGCTCTTCTCTTAATTGAGTGTACGCTCCTTTTAATTTCTGGAATTTTTCGTCTTGTACTTTCGCTTTTTCTTCTGTTTCGGTGAGTTTTTCTGTGGATGTATTTAAAATTATACAAATGTTAATTTATACAAATGTTAATTTAAAAAGACCAAAATAAAAAATAGAATATTAAGCTTAGGAAATGTTGCAAATTAAGGTCACTAATAGGTTACTGAACATCGAAATCTCCCTTGGTCTTAAAAAATAGAGTTTCTACATAAATCGTAACAAATCGATTCGATACATTGTTTTTATAATAATAAGGCTATTACTAAAAATTAAAAATTATATTTAAATATTTGAAGAAACTGTTTACAAATCGACAAACCTGGAAAAATATCTAAACGCAATGGAGAATGACATGTAATTGTATTTCATACTATTTGCAACTAGATATGTATGTTGGATTCATTCTTTTGTAAAATATGTGTTCATGAGCTGAGCAGTTTGGTGCAGTTAGTGTTGATAGCATGGAGATGGTGGGCGAAGGTACAGGAGCTACTGCGATACTTGCAGATATCATTTATTTCCAAATCTGTAACAAGTACTTACGTTTTATTTCTGGTGTCTGTACAGACAATAGTTCCGCCCTCTGTTTTTCTTCTTCTAATTGAACCTGTTAACAAAATTTCGACGTTAAGTAATTATTTACACATACGCTCAAAATATTTAAAAGGTAATACTCTCACTTTCGCGGTCTGCAGTTGTGACTCTATTCTCGTACAATGTTCACGCATTGAGCCTATCATTGTGTTCCTTTCTTGTACCAGCTGTGATACTTCTGACCTGTTTATAAGAGAAGAATTATGATAATTAATTAATAAATAATACCACTTTTTAGCACGCATTTTTGATAATTGCAAGACTTTTTTTTTCTTTTTACTCAAGATGTGACTAATAAACCCAAAAATTAAAGTAACATGAGGTATTTTTCTCATACTAGCTGAGATCCGCGGTGTTACCCGCTTTTGTTGTTATAAATGCGGGCAACGCCGCGGGGCGAAGCTAGTCTAAAAAAAGTAGCCTAAATTACTCCTTATGTCATCAGCTATCTGCCAGTGAAAGTCCCGTCGAAATCGGTCCAGCCGTTCCAGAGATTACCCGGAACAAACAGACAGACAGACAGACAAAAATTGTAAAAGATGTTATTTTGGCATATGTACCTACCGTGTAAACATACATATGCATTTAGTAAAAAGCGTTTATTTTAATATTACAAACAGACACTTCAATTTTATTTATTTGTATGGATGTACTTCATTCGACGATCTACTCACCCTATCTATACAAATAAAATTGAAGTTTCTGTTTGTAATGTCAAAATAATAGATTTTTTCATGCTCACACGGTTATTTGCACGGATATTTTTTGTCTGTGTGTCTGTCGGTTGAATTGATAACATTTTACTACTAGGTAGCTGTCTATATAAGGAGTAACTTGAGCTATTTTTTCCCCTTACAAAAACCCTATAAAATTTCCCAGTCCGGGACCCACCAAGGAAGCTCTTTTCAAATTCCACTTGACGAACTTGAGCGCACCTGCTAGTCTTTAAATATAATGGAAATAAACACCATATTCGGCAATACATGGCTTTTTTTTGTTCAAATACCGATATAATGTAACAGAATTATTAGTATGTTATAAAAAGTCAACGTTTTTATTTCTACCTCATCCTCTTGAGCTCGTTTTGCAAGTGATCGATGAGTCGGTCTCTCTCTACGATAGGGTCGGGCTGTGGTGTGGTGTTGCCTGACATGCGAGGCTCGAAGTCCTCCGTGTTATCCGAAGGTGCCTAAGAAGTTACCATTAATTATAATTTAATTCTTAAAGAGTGTGTGCCCAAAAATTATAGTGTAGTACGTAATAGTAAAAATAAAAATTGTGTAGTGAAAGTATTACACGTAGACCATACAGATGTCGCTCGTCGGTTGGAAATGGCCTGTAACCAACGGTGACATGCGATCTTTATAAGTTAATCACTAAAAAAGTAAAAAAAAAGATGAGCAAAATATATAAATGAATTACCTACCTGACTAATTGTATCAGAAGTGTCGATAAGTGATGCGACTGCGTCTATCTCATCTGGAGACGGCTCTGGTATCGATACGACCGGCGTAACGTACGTGCCAAAGTCGCTCTAACCAACAAAACATTACACTTGAGAATAAAAACTACAAAAATTGTAATAGAAAATAAAAGTAACAACAAATTAAACTTGATTTATCTAATTTAACATCAAACCTGTAGCAAGAAGTTAGGAGGGTTCGACGGCAGCACGGGCAGCGTAAGCAAGTTCCTATAGTACTGCAAACTGCTCGCGTGTTTATAGAAAGAACTCAGTTTCTTGAACTGCTGTCGAAATCTGTAATGACGTGTAAATTATTAGAAAGCTGTTCGAAAATAAAACTTACCATGACTAGAATACGATCGAATTATAATACTTAACTTACATTTATAATATAATACTAATAGTTGGTTAATCCAATCGGTTAAATTCTCAAAACCGTTATATATTTAGTGTGTATTATTTTTAATGACATGACAAGACGGCATTGCCGCCGTTTCAGTGGGCATTCGCTCCCTCCCAGAATTAAGTGGGGGATTGGGTAATTGGCCTTTTGGTAACGTCACTCACTCGGTGAAAAGCAATGATAGGTAAATTAGTATAAACGGGATTTTTATCATGTTTATTTTCGGAAATTAGCTCGAGGAAAATAGTCTCGGGAAGTAGTAAATCAATACATCAATAAAAGAATTGCTTCACACAGTTTTTCTGTGATCCCGAGGTAGCACTGCGGTCGAGCCGACCCATATGTGGCGAAGCACTGTCTCCCACGGCATAATTAATTATACATTGTCATCATAATAATGGTTGTATGCCGCCTGGCTGTAGAACTATTATAACATGTGATCGTTCATGTTTATTCTATATTTATATCTATATTATAATTAACACACAACACAAAAATATATATTTCAATATACAGAATAGTCAATTGTATAGACCATCATGGAGTTATTTGCCTCAATAAAGTTAATTAGTAGAATATGAAAGAAACAAGGGGTAGGGACAAAATGAATTGACACAATCTCTTTTTTCTTAGTACATAATAACAGCCTTAGAGACATTTAATCGATCTCCAATTAAGTGAGCTTGTGTAAGAGAATATAACTAATTTATATAATTTTTAGGCTACTCATAATACGCAACTAAAATAATAACAATTTTTTTTTACGCCTTATCTTAACTTATTGGAACTTCGTAAAGCATATATTTCATTTATACTATTTTTTTTACCGACTTCCAAAAAGGAAGAGGTTCTCAATTCGTCGGAATCTTTTCTTTTTTATGTATGTTCACCGATTACTCGAAGACGCCTGTACCAATTTGGCAAATTAGTTTTTTGTTTTAAAGGGTATACCATTTTTTTGTTTTTAAGCGTATACTTCCCAGGTGGTCCCATTTAAATTTGATTGAAATCGGTTTTAGAAAAATCAACAAAAATCTAAAAATTGTATACATCGATGATATTTTTGTTTACTTAGGAACCCTTGCTGTCTCATTGGAGCAGTGCGTTTAGTTGGTCTTTGTTAGTATTGTTTGAAGTCAGTTCAACGTTTTTTCAAAAAGATTTTATTATTAAATATGATTGATTTATTTAAGAAATGTCATAATAGCCTTATCTCTTACATAGATGATGTCACCCACTATTGACACTCACCTTTCTCGATGTCCAGATAACGTGTCGGCCGGTAAGGAGGCGTGCAATCGGAACAGCAGCCGCACGTTACAGTCGTATATCTGCGACGCGTCTTGCGCACATGGTATCAGAGCGGCCAGCCGACACTGGCCGCTCGCTGTCATGGAATTCGCTCGAGCATTGCCCAGGCTGTCGAACACTGTGTTAAACGATTAGAAGTTTTTTTTATGTAATTAGAACCCATGATATGTTGGCATTCAGTCAAATTTAATCTTAAGATTACAGAGATTATTTTATTCCGAGATGTCTATTTTGTTAAAATTCAAAACATATTTTGCTCTAATATCAAAGAACTTTACGACCACTTTATCGATCGATAAAAAAAAATACAGTTAAATCTGCACACATATTTTTCTTTCCATATAAAGTCAGGGCAGACTGACGTAACTAAATCATCAACGCAGAGCCTGAAGCGCTCTGTAGCTACAAACTTAAAGTTTTGGTAGCTGATGCTTTTTATTTTGTAAGCACCCACTAAGAAAGGATATTTGGAAATTTCACCCCTAAGGGGGGTAAAAAAAAGCCTAAAAGGTATGAACAATAGCTAGTCTGCATGCTGTGCCTACCTTTAAGTGGCGTGATGCTTAACTTTAAAATTCATATGTTTATAAATACATTGTAATAGTGTACTCGCCGTTGGTGGCCTAATAAATAAAAAAAAAAATAAATAAAAATAAATAAATAGTCTATACAAATAAATAAAATTGAAGTGTCTGTTTGTAATGTCAAAATAATAGTTTTTTTCATGCTCACACGGTTATTCATTTACACGATACTCAGCCTAAAAACCAGCTGTAAGTACTCGTAGCTGTCTATATAAGGAGTAACTCAGGCTATTTTTCCTCGCAGAAAAACTCAATAAAATTTTCTCCGGTCCGGGAATCGTACCCGAGGCCTCATGGACCGTACGCGTACCGCAACGCGACTGCAATCCATGAGGCCTCAAACACCACTAAGGCTTTTCAAACTCCACGTCGAAACGTCGTTTTCAAACTCAATGAAGTCGCGGGTACCAGCTATTTTTTAATAAAATATAACAATATATACTAAGTGTTAATTAAAACTGTGCTAAAATATAAATTAGATGTAAATATTCAAATACCAACCTGAAGCTTGCAAGTTAAGAATTTCATCCATGTAGTCGAATAATTCAACGCACAATTGGAAACTGTAACAAAAATGTATAATTTCAATATTAAATCTTTATTTAAATTATTATTATTTATTATATCGAGTGGAGACCGCGTCTCGGGAAACGCAGTGTAGGACGAACACAGGTCAGGTGGAATGACGATTTGCGTAAGATAGCTGGCAGGATCTGAATGCGCGAAGGCCGAAAACCGATCGAAGTGGCGTGCAATAGGAGAGGCCTATATCCAGCAGTGGACTGCGATAGGCTGATGATGATGATAGCTTTCGATGTTGACTTTCAAGTTTACACTAATCTCCTCAGTATTCAGTGCAGGTCCATATATGCTCTCCTTCCTAACTATTTCAGTAATAGACAAAACTCATAATTTTCTCACCACAATTTTATATAAAAACTGTTAGGAGTTGAAGCAACAATTGAGTAACTTCCTACAACAATTTATTGGCGAGTTTTTTGATGAAACAAATTGAATTAATTGTAACGAAAGATAACATAGGCGTTACAAAAACCTGTAATAATAGTATACTAGTGGATTAGACTACTACTTCATATTTTAAGTATAATAGCTGTATCCGTCAGTCCCTTTCTCGATCCTAAGCATCGTAGCGTGATGTTTCATAATATAACAATGGTATATACAGTTACTTACTAATTATTAACATCGTTTTCAGCGATCGCGTCGAGTTCATCGGCGGTAAGTAGCATGTTCCCTGGGAAGCGCGGGTTGCGCGAGTGAAACTTTAGCTTGCACACTAGCAGATTGCAGTACAAATGAACCAGTTTTCCGTAACCTTCTCGTAAATGTACCTAAGAAAATAATGTCATGTTAAAGCTGGTTATATTTTTCAGTATTACCTTTAGATGCCGTATGCCGATGACGAAGGTAGATACCTCAACAGTTATTATTTGACTACATGAACGTTTAAGAGAAACAAATTGTTTTCTAAAGGCGCATTCTTATGAACAAGTTTTGTGAATGAGAAATTCAAAGCAGACAATAGCTAGGCCCCTGCTGATGGTGAACAGTTACTTAGTCTATGGACCAGAGGCAAATAACCTTAAGTTGACTTAAATAGAATATTGGCTGACAATATGCGCAAGCCCACGTCAGGCTGTACAGGAACATATCGCCAAGGCGACAAGCCTACTTTTGTTACACTCTTATTTAAGGCTCTAGTATATATTTTCTTACACGGCGGCTGTTACCTTCACAATAGTAAATACAATTGTGAAGGTAAACAAAAAAATACACATTTCGAATCAATTATTTCGTTTTTTTTTAAAGATGGATTTACATTTTATTACATACAATCTGTACATTGTGTAATATTTTTTGCGAATATCGCGTAACAAAACAAGCATTCTGTGGCAACATGAAGGTTAGAAACGTAATATAATTTACTGGGAACGACAAAGTGGTTACGAAAGAAATACTTAAATAGCTCTTAAAATCAGTACATACTATTGCACTTTATAAAAAAATAGTGCATTCTAAGAAATGGTTGTATTTCTAATTTAATCTCGTTGGATTACTTACCCACAACTTGCCCAGGTTCTGGATCATATTAATGTGCCTCTGTGAGTCGTCGAGACAGGCCGGGTGACCCTCCCGCAGCAGTTTGTGTGTGACATGGCAGAACTTCCATGCCACGATGCGGTTATCTTGTATCGGCAGACGGATTGCCACCATCTGAATAATATAGAAAAATGATGTAAATACATTGAGTTAAAACAACACTAGAGAAGCAAACCTCATTATCACACGTCGAAAAAAGTGTAACCACTTTTGAACTTTGACGACGTAGCTTTGATACCACGAAACATTTGAAAGTAAACATATTTATGTCTCATTTACACGCGAGACAAGAACAATACCATCGCTCGGATTAGACAAAGACATAACTTTACGATGGTGGGCCAGTGTTGACTACCGTATGAAATTTTACCCATAACAACCAAGAAACAATTTTTTTATTAAACAATTTTGTAATAAAATAAATTAATTTAAATATTTTAAATAATATATTTCGAATTGAATGGAATAGGTATAAATAATAAAATAACTAGAAATATTTGGTTAAAAGGGTTTATATTCAGTGTAAAATCAAACTCCGCTATGAAGCATCAGTTTTGTATACCTACAATTGTCTTTTAGACTCTTTTTTATAAGTTTGTGTGAATATTTTACTTTCATGATACAATCTTATTTTTACCTATGTATAAATAATGGCATTTAATAGTAAAAGTGAATGATCAACTTGTACTATTAGTACAGCAATACACCCTGGGGATTATTTATTATTAGTACAGTACTAAGAATAAATAATCCCCAGGGTGTATTGCAAATTCTTTTAATATTTTAAAATACATATATATATATATATATATATTTTGTTTTTTATATTTTTTTATTTATATTTATTTACTTTTTTATTTTATATATTTTTTTTTGTACAATTGTTATTTATATTTGATAATTAATTTAGAAAAATGAATGAATGAATGAATTAATTCTTTTATACAAAAGTCTCCAGCACTGCGAGCTTGGCAGAAGGTGAACGTTCAACGGGTCCCTAAAAAAAGTGATCGATTCAGCCCTAACAACTACCGTTCTTCCTATATTTTATTATTATTGACCAAATGTTTAAAAACAGTATAAAGCATATTATTTCATAAATTATAAATTCTCCCACTAATGTGGGAAAACAAAAATGATTTTTTAATGGTAACACTGATTCTAAATTACAATTATCAATGTTTTATTTCAATTATAGCCTTATTTACGATATTATCAATACAAAAACCATAAACTTACACGTGATAAGTAATTCCGCATGATTTATTATGTTTTTGTGACCTTAAATCGCATTCTTTCACTACGCATTTACCCATTTTGGCGATTGTTACTGTCATGTGTCGCTATGTTCAACTCGGTTGACGCCACATTGAACACTGAATTGACGTTTGCTACGCATATGCCTGTGGACAGATGTGCAGTAGCAACGATTTTAGGCGGTAATTACTCATCTATGTAAGTATTATATCAATGTGTAAATACATATATTAAGACACGGCTGGGGTTCATTAGGATGAAAAATTGACGAAATGAACATTGCGACAGCAAATATTAGACATAAAGACTCATTAAAAAAAGGTGTGGGTTTGGTTTTTATATATTTCATGTTTATGTGTTTTATCAATACTGAAAGTCGGCCTAATGGAATTGATTTATTTATTTATTTAACTAACGACCTAATGCCCAGGGCATTCTCTTCCCGTTCCCGTTCCCTTTGGGTGATGTAGAAATCTTGTATAGGTACCTTACAAGATTTCTTCAACACGAGGTTACGTCATAATATCAAGGTTCAATGAAAATATTAGGTAGGTAAACATATGAAATTAGCGTTTTGTCGTACTGACCACTTTGATCTGAAATATCTCCTCTTTGGTTAAGAATTCCCAATTCAAATTTCATTTAGCTGGTACATTAGAGCTTTGAAAACAGTCATTCATTTGTTTTTTCCTCATTATTTTTTTTACATACATTTTACATTACATCGCTTATTACCGCATAATGGAAAATATGAACTATCGGTATATTGACGAGTACGAGTTCTACCGTAGCACCAGTGCTGCAGAAACAGCTCGAAGGATTAATGATGTGTACGGCGCTGGTGTCGCAAAAGAAAGCATGGTACGTTTTTGGTTTCAACGTTTTCGTTCTGGAAATTTCGACTTTCAGAACTAACCCCGTGGACGGCCGGAGACCAAAGTGGAAAATGAAGAATTAAAGGCTATTGTGGAAGCGGATCCATCACAAAGCACTTCAGAGATAGCTGCAGACTTCGGGGTAAGTGATAAAACTATATTAATCCACTTTAAGCAAATCAGGAAAGTAAAAAACTTGAACGATGATGATGAATTGAGTGAATCGAACTTGATGAAAAGTGGATACTGTACAATAATCGGAAGCGCTCGTCGCAATGTCTGAACTCTGGAGACCAATCAAATCCTGCCCTAAACGAAAATTTATTCAGAAAAGTTACTTGTGAGTGTTTGGTGGACTAGCGCCAGTGTCGTTCACTACAGCTTTCTAAAATCTGGCTAAACGATTACGGCAGATATCTATTGTCAGCAATTGCAAACCATGAAGGAAGAACTAGAAGCTGCTAAACAACCGAGATTGGTCAATCGCTCCAGTTCACTGCTGCTTCACGACAACGCAAGACCACACACTAAACAACAAACAACCACTAAGTTAGATGAGCTACAATTGGAATGTCTGCGACATTCACCGTACTCCCCGGACCTTACTCCAACAGATTACAATTTTTACCGGAATTTGGACAACTTCTTACAAGGAAACTCCGATGCGGCAGTCCAAACCGCCTTCAAAGAGTTTATTGATTCTCGCCCCCACGGCTTTTTTTAGTAAAGGGATCAATGAACTACCTATACTAACTATGAGATGATTTAGATAACATAGATAACAACGGTGCATACTTTGATTAATTAAATATATTTAAAAAAAAATGACTATATTCCACTCGTACAAAACGCCAATTCCATAAGTAAGGACCTAATATATACGGTTCACTACATACATAAACATATACATACACACTAAATTGATGTGATGTATATAAATACTGTAATTTTATACAACACTTAATCAAAACCTATTTCACAATGCCAAGACGCCAAGAATTTCGAAGTCAGAAAAGTTCTTCTTACACCCCTCATTAAAGTAAGAAAATTCTGTTACCTAACTTACCTGTAAGTAGATTTTCATAATTATTATACTAGTAACTGTACAAATATTAAAATTCTGTCGACAATGATAACAGGTTTACGATGATACAAATAACAGATGACGCTACTATTTACAGGACAATGTAACTTATAGAAACTTATCCTAATCTTTTACACAATTCTAACCTTTTACAAATTTTAATCAAAAAAAAAAATCTAATCCTTTAAAAATATTTCTAGAAGTAAAGCACACATAATTTACCCAGTAAGTGACTGCGCTCTGCTCTTGGAAGGTGCCGATGATTGCACTCCGAACATGTTTTTCTTTCACAGGAGTCTCGTTAGCATTAATCGCCTTTTGAATAGCGAGTGTCTGAAAGAAAGAAACTTATTAGAGAGATGCAAAAAGAAACAAGGAGAACACTAATCTTCCTTAAATTTAAATTAGAGAAGTATATTATTTATTATTTATAATTTACATTGCAGATGTTTTCGAATCAGGGATGAAAAAGAGTAAGTACTATGGGTCGCACCACGGTGCGAATTGACCAAGTTCAAAAAAGATATATGTCGAATTATAGCATGGTCCCAAACAGCGTCTTCAAAAAGCGTCCGTGTGTGATTCGCACCGTGGCGTGGTGTAAACGGTTCGTGGAGTCAATCGACGCTGTACCCATTAATATTAAACACGACCGCTGCAGATATGTGAATCGGAGTTTACAGTAAGCAATAAACATTCATAACAGGCATGCATTTAAAATAAGTCGGGCTACAACACTGCACGTGTATTGTTTGTAAGATACAATGGCATACTTTCATACCTTTTCAAATTAACCCAAATAGGATATACCACTACCTTGTACTCACAATTTTTAGGCATTTTGTAGTACTAGTGGGTTAATGAACATTGCCTTACGCTTGAGCAACATTAGTCGCTGAAGAAGTAAAGAATATGGGCCAAATAAATATTGGCCCTTTTGAAATTCAATGTTAAGTAAAAAAACCTTATTATTTACCAGTTTTATTTTAAAACTAAACATTAAAAGAATTAAATTACTATTTAAATAATGTATATAAATTAAATAATAAAGAAAAGAAAGTAATAATATAAAAATTAACGAACGCAGTGACAATATAAGTGAATCAATAACACTTAACGCAGTGGCAGATGCGAAAGTGATTACTGACCACTTAGATCACCACGCGGAAACAATATCAAGTAATAGCCGCGTTACAAAAGGGGAAATCTTATTAATTTTATATTTTCCTTACATAAATATACAACGTAGGTATGTATATGAGCATGTAAGGCTAAAAAGTTTTATAAACAAGCGTATTTGCATGCAAAAGCATTCAAAGTTTACGTCATCGCGTCACCGTGTCATTGTATGCAATCCTTCATTGAGCTGAGATATTCTGATATTTATTCTCAGAATTACGTGTTGCATGACCAATGGACGTTGTAATTGATGATTGTCTGCGAGTTCACAAAAACACTTTAATTCTTTTCCGCGGCGATTACTTTGACTTTAAAATAAAAGGAAGTCATTGCTTCTTCAAAAGTTCAAATCATAATAGGAACAAAGTTTTTGTTGGTGTACATCATCTCTTAAATTCTTAAATATCTTGTTAAATAAAATAAAAAGCTAACTCATAAAACGTTTTAAATAATACTAATTCTCTTGACCTGACTAAATCATATTACTAAAGAAAGCTATCGAGTAGTCTTAAAGTACTTTCAATAGGTTTTTTTTAATCAAATATTGTAATTAGGTATTTATTTAGTTCGTCTTCAAGTCTTTAAGGCTTTTTTTTAACCCCCAAAGGCAAATGTTGGGTGTCATAAGTTTAACCTGTGTACCTATGCACCTGTTTTACCTCCCGACCAAAGGGGCAATTTCGATGCGGATTTTGTTGAAGCTATATATTTTGAGGATCATCAGCTCACTTCCTAGGTGATGAAGGGATCTCACTAAAATCCACAGGTACGATTGATTTGATATTTGGTATACTGTTACTTTGCCGGTATTTCCACGGCATGATAACATTGAACTTGCTGCTACATCAAGTACTCTGCGGGATAGCCAACTCCTCAGAAAATTACAGCATATATATACCATGTTTGGGCTTCTTAGAACATTCTCAATGAGCAGTTGTTGTTTTCTTAAAGTTTTTTTTTGTATCGGGGGTTTTTAATGATGCTATTATTTCTAGAGGTCATACGAGCAGACGGGTCTACTGATGGTAAGTGACTACCGTAATCCCCAGACACCTGCAACTCAAGAGTCACAAGTAAGGGGAGGGACCTCACTCACTCGACTCAAAAAAAAACTGAACACTGGTTTTCCGTGAGGCCGTTTTATATGTGCCAGCCATATGTGCCGAAACATGGATGTCATGGCAAAAGTTAAATATCGTCAACGCCCAATGAACATCTGTTCTGCCACTCTGCTAATGTCTTTTCCAAAGCGAACAATTGAGGTTAATATGACAAGAGGTCGGGCAAATGCACCATCTTTGAACTGTTTGAAACTGGTGGACGTAGTGCATCATCTGACGTATGAGAATACCTACGAGCTGAACAAACACTCAACATAACCGGATGAATTTGCATTTACTGAATTCTATCAAAAAGATAACAAAAGCGAGTCAATAACCTTTATATTAAATTTACTTCAAACATGTTATAACATTTTTATCTACTTCAAAGTGCCCGAAAGACGAAAAAAAACGATAAATATTTAAATTACATACATAATTCAATTTGCACAAAGATATATTTTAAAATATTTTTGACATATAATCAGAATATGTGTTGATTTGACTCTGCTGCCTACTATATGAGATTATAAATTAAACAATGAATGTCTGTCTATTCATTATTCAAGACATAATTGCGAATGAGAACAAAACACATTCATAGATGAGTTTAAATTAAATACGTAATGTATTACGTCTACCTTGACAACTATTAATATGTATAGACGTCTGTTATTGTGTTGAAGAATTAGCAGCCCGAACGACTTAGACGGATCCTTATCTGTTTCAAAGGGGATTTCCTTACTTAAATTTCTAGAAGAAGAGAGACTGAGAAGAAGAAAGAAGTGCATTCAGATCGCGATGAGTGGCGATCATTGAAGAAGGGTAAAGAGAGAAAGAGAGGGTTAAGTTTCCAGAGTTTTGGGTGCATCTCGTTGATGTGAAACGTCTAACAATAAGATAGTATAATCAGTCTTTGTGGGGACATGTGAATGTATATTTGATGTGGCATTAGTTGACAACAAGACCGAAGACAAACATGCTTATAGTATTTATATTTAGTCAGCTAAATACATTTATAATATGTACATATACCTTACAGGATTATTTTCATTATATATGTATAAAACGTTTGTTTTATAAAGACTCGGACTGTTAACCTTGTTTTTCGTAACCTAAAGCTTGTTTTTCGTAATAGTAACCTTCTATTCGAGTCAGGTAGCCATCACAATAGGTCGATTATCATCCCAGAGGGACTACATGTTAGCCATAAAATGACAGAAACATTACACCCACAAACTCACAGATAACTAATCCGTCCACACTGATTTTTCAAAAGTTTTAGAGTTAAGTTTGTTTCACGGGAAATTAGTACAAACTTCGCTTTTTATATGGTTCTATTTCTCTAATTTTTTTTTCATTTTCCAGAGGATGATACACGAATACCTATGGTTATACCACGTCGATCCACATTAGATAATACGTTTGTATGGATGCCTGACAAGTAGGCAGAAGCAAAAACGGTGGGACAGATCTGGATGAAATTTGGCACAGAGATAGATTATAGCCTGAAATGGCACATAGGCTATTATTTATCCCGAAAAATATAGTGTTCCCGTAGGATGAGCAAGGTACAACAAAAACCGCGGCTATCACTGCGGGGCGTAGTATGATAATATAACTCAAGGCTATCAAATGCATAAAGAACTCTTCGACATTATTATTTTATTATTAGTATAGATGGTTTACTAATAGCCTGTACATTTCTTAAGTTTTAAACCAGAACAAAGAATATTCCACTATTGTTTGTATCTAGGTATGACTGAAGTGCAAGTTTTTTATTTTTACATTACATTAATAAATCGATGTGATGACAACATCTTATTAATTTCTCTCAAACTGTTTTCCGCTCTCCACAGAAGAGTTATATTGAAACTAAATAAATATATCATCATAGCTAGCCTACTAGATCCTCTTCTTACTGGGCTAGCTGTGAGTCATGGAACATATACATATAAGTTCTAAAGCGCCCTATTACAGGATCATTTTAAAGTATCATAGGAACTTATTAATATCCAAATAAACTTAAAATCTCAAATAGAAATATTAAATTATTATGCTCCATATTTAAATTATACGTCTAATTCTTGAATAATGTACACAACACGGGTGCACAAGTTACAAAACACATGTGTGTTCTTCGAGTGATTTATATTTCATTTAACAGTGTCTATGTAAACATCGAAGAGATATTTAGGCACAAGTAAATATTTTTACCGTGGTAGTAGTGTTTCATTACAGAATGCAGGCTGGGTAATCCTTTGGCATATTTTCATAAAAAAAACTGATTTCAATCGACAAAAAAGTTTTTTTATTAATTTAATCGAATTATAAGAGTTATTAGATTTGTTTTAATATTAATATAAATGTGAACAATTACTTATGTTCGAAGGTACTTTATATCTCTATATGAATATTTAAAATAAAACTACCACGAGTCCATTTAGCCGTTCTATAAAACCGGTATGCTATTTTTTTATAGGTAGGTTACTTGAGAAGTATCTTGTAAATAGAGTATAAAACTCTATTTACAAGATACTTCTCAAGTTCTCTCATAACCAACTTACTGGAATAAGTTCCTATATTTGGGCTGAGCCTTTGGCCACATAATTTGGTTAAGACGACAGCAGGAAAGGTAATATGATCAATTAAACTATTGTAGTTCGTAATTAATACGGAACAGTACGGGTTCTTCTCGGACAAGAATTCAACACCCTAAAGATTGTCAAACCAGTTTGTTTTACGTTAGACTAGTATACGCTTCGATGTCAAGAATGATATACCTAACTAATAAATATACCTAAACAAACAGAAAGAGTTATTTAACAGAAGTCCTATGAAAAGAATTGTCATAGATAGACTTATCACGTTTGCAATAACGATAGACGTCCCGTTTATTAAGCACAATACTTTCAAGAAATCATTAACAATCCGATATGCTACGACAAGAAGTTAAACTTAAAATGAAAGTATAAGGATAAGATAAGGCTTTAATTCACAAATAATTAAACGGATTAAGTATCAAGAGCGCCCTAGGCATGCATCTCGTCATGCCCCTAGGCATAGCCGATATTTCACAGGAGCGGACCTAACACCGACCCCTGCGGAATACCGGACGACATTTCACGCCGACAGAAACCGGGCCTACTTGGGTTGATGACGGCTGCGGAAACTCTCATTTAGAAGACGTCCACCATACGAGGACGTCACCTCCTAGCGGTAGGCCTTTGTAGCGACTGGGAGAAGAAAACTCGATCACCTGCGACATGAGGCGGTGGAAGGCACGCCAACCATGGAGCGTGTAGTGAGAAATTCTCTCCGATGACCGCCCGATGAGAAGCGCTCGACGCACCGTTAACAGTGGTGACAGGCGCAACTCAATTCACTGCCGATACAGTTGATCGCTAGGTGTGAATAAGAATATGAGAAAAGATGTGCGTCAGTCGGAAGGAAAGGGTCCCGTGCTGCCACCCTGCCCACTAGACGATGACTGGCTTGACCGCTTTCAAGGCGTCAAAGCCAGCACGTGGAGCCTCTAGCCAGGACGACTAACGAGTCATCGTGGCTCGGCAAGCGGCCTTTAGCCACTGATTTCCGCCCCTACATTCTATGGCAGGGATCCGTCAGCACCCTCTGAGAGTTAGCACCCTCAAAGCGCGCCCTATTCGGGGCGATCAAAGCTGTAGCAACTGCATTTTTGTGTACACGCAGTACCGTCTTTACCATAAGGGCACACGGGGCCCGTGCCCAGGGCCTCCATCGTCAAGGGGCCTCCAAAAAGCAAATACATAGCACGTTAAATATTCGCTTACCTCATTTTTTTTTTCAAATTCATATCGACATTTTCCGAAAAAAAGTAAATGGGCCTTTTTAGCAACTTTATGACAACTCTAAGCACTGACAAGCCAATGATCAGTAACGGCCTTAGCCATTGCGAGGCCCCGGGCCCCGGGCCCCGGGAATTAGTTTTAAAGGTCGCTGTATACGTAACGATAACGATTAATGATCATACATTAAACAAAAAATTTGCATCGCAACACATACTGCTGCTCGCACATAAAAGCATAAGCCGAAGACAGTTTCTACAATGTTACAGGCGAAATCAAACACGGGGAATCCCTGAACGTAAATCGTAAACACCTTACATAGACCATTTTAAATTATCATCATATTTCTGGGACACTATTTTCTACAGCGATTGTTCTCCTCTCTCTAACCTCTAACGTTTCGCTAGAGTGGCCAATATGGCGACTGCGATTTGTCTGTCAGCACCATTGGAATTAAACAAAATACTCGACAAACCGAATTTTGCGGATATATGATTTATTTTTTTATGTTTCATTCAGGGAAGGTTTCGATCGAGTCTACCGTAGCCCTTGACGAAATTATTAATATAGATTGGACTATTACTACTAACGCCATCTGTTAGAAAACTCACTACTGACTGATTCTTTATTAGTGTCGATGAAAACAGTTAAAAATACGCCAAATTTTATTGGTTAAAAAGAAATAAATAATGAGTAATTAATTAACACGAGCCCTTCTGAATCACCGCTTTTTAACAATTTAAATATGTATAATGATGGCATATTTAATTTTCTTTTCGGTTTTATCAACTTTATTACAAGTCACATGTGCCACTCTATAAGCGTGGATTCTACGCCAGATCTCTCTCACGTTGACCAACTAACTTTCATCGTTAGATACGTAAAAGATGGAGAGCCTATTGAGAGATTTCTACAGTTCTTGCCTATAGATAAACATAATGCAGAATACTTAGCAGGTAACATTTTGAACTTTATAGAAAGCCTTGATATTCCTATAAAAGATTGTCGTGAACAGAGTTATGATAATGCATCAAATTTGGCTGGAAAGTATTCTGGTGTTCAGTCAAGAATAAAAGAAAAATGCAAAGTTGCAATTTTTGTTGTTGCTAAATTTAGTAGGTGTTCAAGCTATTGATTGTGTTTCCGAAGCTGCAGCATATTTTCAGTTTATACAAAAATTGAAAATTGTTCAATTTCTTTTCCGCTTTGACCAAACGATGGAAAATTATGGTAGAGAATTTAGGCACAAATAAAGTCTTGAATTCTGTGCCGGATACTAGATGGTCTGCACGTGCAAATGCCATTAATGCTTTACAAAATGGTTATTTAAATATTTCTGAAGCTTTGTCCTCGATAGTAAGTGATGTCAATCAACCAGGAGAAACAAGAAACGAAGCGCAAAGCCTAGTAAAAAAAATGGAAAAATTGAACACAATACTTTTAACGGAAATATGGAATGACTTTTTTGGGAATTATGAACAAAACAAGTTTAAGCTTACAGGATAGCACTATTACCATGGACGTTGCCAAAAAGCTTTACGCATCTGCTAAAGAAAAAAATCCAAATGCTGACTATAAAGATAAATTTGACAGGAATAGAATTCGCAGCACACGCGTTACTTTCTTTGAAGGATCATCGGAGACTGTGCAGTTGCATGGGAAGGAAAAAATTCGTATAGATACACTTATCCTTATAATAGATACATTATATGCACATTTAAAAAATCGTTTGGTAGCGTATCAAGAAATTCACGATCGTTTTCGTTTTCTTTCACAATTAACAACAATTGATTCTGACGAGTTAACAAAAAAAATGCAATGAATTTAAAGAATTCTATCACGAAGACATTAATGCATATGAGCTCAAATCAGAGTGTTTTGGAACGAAGTTCCTTATCGCGCGTTGTGAAAGGGGCTAGACGGAAAAAATTCTCACGAAAAGTTGTAACGACACTTTTATGTCAGTCATTCAGCGCCATCTATCGAATAGATAGGAAATCATTACTTTTCATCTCAGTATTTATTTTGAATTGTCACTTGTCAGTTATTCAGCGCCATCTATCGAATAGATAGGAAATCATTTCTCAAGGAGATTTTACCAATGTATAAATTGTTTTAATTAGAAACCAACTGAAAAATATGTAGGTAATAGCCGCTTTCATAGATGGCGTTGTAATTACAATCGTGTCGATTCAGTTTTACTCGATCGTCATAACTTCGTTCCTTCGGCTTTTTTATTTAAAGAATATATCAAAGGAATCAGCTGATTTGAGTATCTCAAACTTACATAATTTAATAAAGTCCGATTGATTAGAAGAAAAACTTTTCCAAATGTCGAAGTGGCTACAAGTTTGTAAATGTACGTATGAATGTATGTATGTATGTATTGTACAATGTTTCTATGCCTAATTGTTACCAATTGCAGCGGTGAGCACTCATTTTCAAAGTTATAGCGAATAAAAAATTAATTACGAACATTAGCGTCACAAGAGCGACTAACGTATTTATCAATTATGTGTATAGAAAATGATATCCTCAAAAAAATTGACTTTGAAGATATAATAGAAGAATTTCCACAACAGAAATCCCGAAAAAAATCACTGTCGTAATTGTACCTAACCGATTCAAACCATCAATTCAAAGATGCTTGTCATCATGCATCCCATATGTATATCTATTATACTTACTCGTAAATGTATATATCTAATTAATATCTCTAATTATAGGTATATTTGATTGTTGCCAATAAATCATTTTAAGTAAAAGATCATAATTAAAAATATTTTCACCATTCATTTTGTTAACTGTCCGACAGGGCCCCTAATTCTTGTGTGCCCAGGGGCCTCGGCGTGGCCTAAGACGGCCTTGTGTACACGCACTAATATCTCGTAGCTCGTAGGTATAAAAAATGAAAGCAAAGAAGTATTGGCAATTACGTAATATAAATCTTAGATGTCAACCTTAATCATCTCTTTAGATTTTTTTTATAATGTGTAAATATGTGAATATTTACTGATACAGTTCTTTGTAAATTCGCATCCCTAGGCACGTGCCTACTTTGCCTTAGGGTCAATCCGCCACTGTGTGTATATATATTTATAGATAAATTTGAGTAGTTGCAATAGCTATTAGTTGTTATCCGGATATTCCAATAAAGTTGTTCCCGGATCCCTCCTGTTTAAAGCGCAGTATGGCACACCGTGTGGTTTTAGTGAGTTCGATTCCGACACACCGCCTCACCGTAAACCCCGAAGGGGTAATGTTTCGATGAGGTTTCCACACTCACAAAATAAGCTGTTAGTTTTTATAATACAGGGTTGCTTAGCAAAACATCTTTTCTTCATACCTTCGGAAAATGCAAGTGTCAACCCCTTTTTATTTATTGAATAGGTTATTACATGCTCTGCAGGCAGCTAATGCCTTGCAGAATTGTGAGCGGTCTATAGTAAAGTACAGTATGTTGGTCTGTTCTATTTTAAATGAAAAAAAAACCATCGGCAATGAAAAGAACAATTCGAAAATAACTCTATAATAAACTAAACAAGGCGTAGTGATATGACTGTCCCAACTTTAACGTATCAGAACAAATCGTGTGATTTATTTATTTTCGAGTTCTGAGACGATAGACAAAGGTGTATTAGTTAAAGTATAGCTTTTAACATCATTTCTTAAATATAAATTAGGAAAACATGATTTTTACACAATTATTTAGATGTCGTTTAATTATTCAGTAAGTAGACACGGCAGTAATTAATACTTAAACAATATTAACCTTATTTTAATTAAATTGTGATATGAAAATTAGAAAGATAATTTTTTGAAAAAGATTTCAGTAAAAGAGAAATAGAAACAACTTACCAGCTGAAAAAACCGTTTGTCGGTGGGGTTCGCCATTGCAATGTTTTAGTGCACAGCGGAGTCAGCGGCATGCATTAGTTAAGTGCGGTGTGACGCTGAAATAAAATGCCGCCACACGCTATTAGTACTGTTAGTGAATGTGTCTTTTATACTCGTAGTATAGAATACAGTTGGATCATGCAATAGAACACGCAAGCGAGAAAATGAATACCGAGATTGAAGGACGCCCCATGAAAGGACGGTCCCTCATAGCCGCGATTGTTCCCGATCCAGGAATATATAAATATATATGTTACACAATTTAATAATTAAGAAGAAAAATATTTCGGGCTGTAGATGTTACGGTTAGATTGATAATAAACAATTAGAGAATGATGAGACATGAATTTAATGAGATAAATCAAAAATTAATAGACTGTTAAAGCTTTCAAGGGATATAAATTTTAGATTTTTCTTTTATCAACTGAGTAAAACACAAGCAAGCACTTGAGATCAATGAATATACTTTTTGCACCAAGCTTAGTTCATGCAGGTCCGACATCGAGAATGGCGAATGATTCAAGGATTAGATCAGCTTACCTGCAACAAACAAAAAAAATACGTTAGTCTTGAATTTGCGTGAAACTATTTTTGATGTCAATAAACTGATACAATGTATATTTATGTAAAGAATATTTCACAGAATAGAAATAACTATAAAACAACAAAAAAACTGATCATTCTTAAAACAAATCTAATACTATAACTTAAGTATCTGTGTAACAAAAATTCTAGCAGTAGCAGCAGCAATTCTAGACGATCCTTTTCTTTTAAGAGCACAAGCTCATTTATTGGTAAACAGTGAGGCACAAATACAGGTGGCTCAGACTCAAGGCTACTCCCGCTTCTTCTTCCCGCTGACTGGATGTTTATCAGAAGTAGCAAACTATTACAACCGCTTTTCAATAATATTTATTAATAGAATAAAATAAAATGGCAATGCAAAGCGTGGTTGAATATTAAATACAACTTTTGGTGACTGGTCTTACCTCACTACAGAAAATCTTTAAAAAAAATGGAAAAAAATTGCATTAGAAACCTGTAGCTAGAAACTGGTAACCATTAGCAATAATCTTACTTAAATTTACGAACGATTACGAATCCATTTAAATGTTCCATGATAGTTGGTAATTTTTGTATCAAAAGTGTAAAATATAAGCCTATTAACGTTGCTCGGTGAATTGTGTCACAGACTTACACAGTAATACTATTAGCGTGATTGTACGATAAGTATGTTTTGACGTAGAAAGTAGATTTTATAGCATAGTTGTTTTATTATATTTGCAAAATCTTTGTGACGTCTAGTTATTTTCTCCCATATGATACATAAGTTAACTGCTGAGTTGATTAAACAAATGAAGGTATTAAAAAATCATCGATGACTTCCTAAAAAGTATTTACTGACCAATGCTGTCCCCACCTTATTAATATAGGACCTAATCCAAAAACTAACATAGTTTTTTGTTTTGTAACTATTGACGACCTCCAGCGTTATAAAGTAAATTAGACGCAGCATTATACTCGTACATGATCGGTAAAGAAAAATAGTGTCTTTTCTCTTATTCGCTAACCGTTTCAGCTGCCTGGTTAGTAAAATATTATCAAAATCGGTCCAACCGTTGTGAAGATTACCCGGAACAAACAGACAGACAGACAAAAAATATTTAAACTGGTTTTTAGGCATAGATGTTAGAAACAGGGACAAGTATAAGTGTTTTTTACCGAAAGTCCTTATTACCTACCAACCATATTGTTGAACTAGCTATTGCCAGCGGCTCCGCCCGCGTTTTTGTTGGTTATCGCGGTAAAAAGTAGCCTATATCCTTCCTCAAGAATCAAATCAAAGTATCTCTAAATTCGGTTCAGCGGTTTAGCCTTGTGAGCGAAACAGACAGACAGAGTTACTTTCGCATTTATAATAATAGTTAGGTTTTCAACCGCTAGGCAAACACGAGTTTTCCAAAATAGCCGTCAAGGCAGTTACACAAAGTTGTCACACTCATCACTATGTGAGAGATAAGCTCATAGCCAAGTATGGCTTCTGGTAGCACACTTTCATATTCGACTGAGGAAGAATAATTTAATCGGTTTACGCTTAAGTAGGATAAGCTGAACATTCCATAGAAATCCAAAATGTGAACCTCGTGAATTTCTAAAACCTTGGTATGTTGGCACTAAGAATTTGTGTAGTATAAACACAACATAGGGTTGTTCGTGACTAGGCACAGTTATTTAAACAACATAAGTATACAGTTTATCAAGGGCATTATTCGGTGTAAATAGTTATTATACACAAGGAGCGCCTTGTGTATAATAACTATTAATAAGCGTATTAGTGCTATTTATTGTATATATCTTGCAGATAATACAGATAACAAGGAAACTGTATAATTAATATCCTGCATTGCTCGTCAATATTATGAAGTCATCTATAAAATCCATAGAGGCCATCTAGATACTTAGTACTCAGATCAAACACGATGGAGTGACAATGTTGAATAGATGAGATGTACTGTATTCAGAAAGGAATCCATCCATAAGATCCATAATAAAGGGTTTCTCAGTAAAAGTGCACTTTACATTTTAAAATACAAACACGTATTTTATGAAAGAGTTGTGATATTTTTATTGGATTGTAAAGAAAATATGTTCCGATTAAGTATGGAATAAAATATCAGGCAAATGGCCCCACAGCTCTGATGACCATTACTCTTTTCATGAATTTTTCCATGACTTTTACACAGAGATGTGGCTGTATCTCACCGATGACGCGTTGGATCTCTGATTTGAGCTCAGGAATTGTTTCTGGTTTATTCGCATAAACCCGACATTTCACAAAACCCGAAAGAAAAAAATCGCACGGCGTTAAATCGCAAGATCTTGGTGGCCAGTTGACATCAGAATTTCGTGAGTCGATTGTTTCATGAGCGGTGTGGCAGGTGGTGCCGTCCTGCTGAAACCACATCTTGTCCAGATCCATACCGTCCAGTTGAGGCCACAAGAACTCCTTTATCATATTCCTGTAACGAATGCAGCTCACAGTCACTGCAATTTCGGCCTCATCTTCAAAAAAGTAAGGCCCAATCACGCCGCCTGACCAAAATCCGCACCAGACAGCTGCTAGTTGTGGGTGCATTTGTTTCTCATGGATTGCATGAGGATTTTCTGAGCCTCTGAGCCAAATTTGTCAATTTTGTGTATTCACGTACCCATTCAGTTGGAAATGCGCTTCATCGGAGCAGATGACTTTTTTCGAAAAATTGGCATCGACTTCACTTTGCTCCATTACCCATTGAACGAATTGACGGCACTTTTCAAGGTCTGCTGGACTGAGCTCTTGATTTAGCTGAATCTTGTACGCATGAAGGTCTTTTGTCAATATTCGCTTCGTAGTGCTTCGTGGAATTTGTTGTTGTTGTGTTGTTGAGAACGATGCCGAATTGATGTTTTCGGCGACACTCGTTTACAGTAGCAATGTTTTCAAGAGACGGAAAGTATTCTTCATATCCATAATCGACCCAGTTTGTTCATATTTTTTTACCACTCTTCGAATGATCGACACAGGTGCACTTTCCCGACTGAAAATTTGGCGAAGTTTGCGAGCGATTGCATTTTGCATTTCCCCATTTTTGTAATGAGTTTTCACAATTATAACGCGTTGTTCTTTTAAAAAACGCTCTATTTTTATTAATCGAAATAAACGTAGGTGACAGCTGTCAAATTTCAGAGTGGCCACTTGTACGAAAAAGAAAGTCTAAATTTAAAAAGTGCACTCTTACTGAGACACCTTTACTACCTAAAGTACTCGTTAAGACATAAACACAGTACGGAAAGAAATAAGGTAAGCTTAACCACGATGGAGTTACATTAGGCGGTAAAAGTTACTCTTTCCACATTTCGAATTCATGTATCACATGAACAGCCTTTAACAATCTACTGCTGGACATAAGCCTCTCCTTTAAAAAGAGGTTTTGGCCTACTATACCACACTGGCTAGACGGGTTGGTATAGAGGGTTTGTGTCAAGTTTTCCTTCACTCTGCAGTGCTGTTGTTCTGCGTAGTTTTTTCCTTTAGACGGCTCTTACGACACCCACGAGATGAATAGGAGTGGTGACACTCTGTATTCTTAATCCGTCACCACGCGGATACGGATTCGTGTATCAACCCCTGGATACTACCAAATTAAAGCTCGATCGCTTGGGAGAAACTGTTTTAAAATTCAGTTGCAAGAATTGTTCCATATCAATCGTTGTTAATTAAGGCAGAAATGTAAAGAAATAAACATAATGACAGTAGCAAGTCAATATATTTGAAAATCTATACTAATATTATAAAGCTGAAGAGTTTGTTTGTTTGTTTGTTTGAACGCGCTAATCTCAGGAACTACTGGTCCGATTTGAAAAAATCTTTCAGTGTTAGATAGCCCATTTATCGAGGAAGGCTATAGGCTATATATCATCACGCTAAGACCAATAGGAGCGGAGCACCAATGAAGAATGTTTCAAAAACGGAGAAAATTTATTACTATTGAGAGACGCAGACGAAGTTGCGCGGGTCAGCTAGTGTAATATATGTTCATAAAAACAAAGATAGCTTCTTAAAAAGAAGTAATGTAAAAGCTTCAAATACCAGAAATAGAAAAAAACTTGTTGTACCTGCCTCTAGGCTCCAAAAGATAAACAAGTCATTTCGAGGTCAATGTTTCAGATTCTATAATAAAATCCCAAATAGTATACAAGATTTTAGTTTAAACAAATTTAAACCCACAGTGAAACGTAAACTATGTGAAAAAGCCTATTACTTAATTTTGGATTACATAGAAGTCAAGAATGCTTGGGATTAATTTTATGCACTTGCCATAATTTCGCACAGACTATTTCGTAGTGGAAATGTGAGGTGGCCTAGTGTGTCTTTTATTTAATTTTTAATTTTTAAATGTTTTACTTCACTTTCTTTTTTATTCGATCTTTTTTCTATATCTTGTTTCTCTTCATTG